GAAGAAATAATCCGGATTTATTTTGTTAATTATTTAGTAATGCCAATTAATTTTGTTCACTATCCCATTTATTTATATAGTTTTCTTCTTCGTTCATCGATAGTAATAAACGATTAACGGATTTAATCAATTATTTTACCATAATAATTAATTAATTAATTTTTTATATAAAACCTATGAAACATCCACTAAAATACAATTTCAACATATGAAAATTAGTAATGCAACATGTAGCACATAATTAATATAATTATCAAAAACGTCAAATTAGTTTTGCATTATTTATATAAACGCTTTTATTGTATCAAATAAATATCTATTTATTTTTTTCATCGATCACGTGATACCTTCGAAGATCGTCGAGTCGCGTCGAGACGAATTTGGATACTATAGGTACTCTATTATTTTAATATTTTTTTTTAATTCTGTTAAACTCTTAACTTTTCGCCCTAATCACGCACACTTTTCATATTCGACATTTGATAATAATCTCTCGCGCGGGATTATACATATATCTTGCCACGTACGTATTTAAGAAGAGTCTTTTGTTATCGCCTGCCATTGGATGCTGTTAGACGGGTCGCAGAGTAGTCGTTATTGTTATCCTTATTGTTACCCTTATCGTAGTATTATTACTATCATTATTATTATTACAGTTATACTTTTAGGACTATAATCGGTATCTCATTATTAACATTAATTACATTATTGTTATATTATTTAATTATAATTTAATCACGGTTTCGTCTTGAAATTCTCACGTTTATCTTTAAATTAGCACTTTTAAAAACAGTAATTATGTTAATATTTATATCAGATTACACGTACGGTTGATTAATTCCTCGTTTACGAGTTTGGTCATCATCCTTTTACGACATTAAAAAGTCTGTGAAGATTAAAAGAATTTCTTTCACGCATATATACGTTCTGTATATGTATACGTGTACATTAAATGGCATACATTATACGTGCACATTCTGCATTCTCTTCTTTTTCTTTTTCGTTCCTTTCTCTCTCTCTCTCTCTCTCTCTCTCTCTCTCTCTCTCTCTCACACTTTCTCTTTATCTTTCGCCCTCTGCCTTTTAAAAATCATATATCTATCGATTCATCCATGTATTTTCTTTGAGCCGCATTTACACTTCATGTTTAATATTAAATTTACCTATTCATTCATAATAAAATTAAAAGTTCGACGATTTGCATCTCACACACACAAACATGTCTAATTTGATTCCACATTTATATTAATCTCAATTTTCGCACGAATACAAATATTAGAATTAAATTATTAAATTGTTATTGAATATAATTATTTTTTATTTCACGCTGAACACAAACACAATATTCAGAATTAAAAAAAAAAGAAGAAACTTCGACGATATTTTTGCGTTAAATGCGGCTCTTTTTCTTTCTCTCCACTTCTTGCGTCAACATGTACTTTTGGATCCGCAAAATGGCTTATCGAGCGTATCGTCGGACCGGCTATGTTTTTTTTCGAAATATATTTATCACAGAAAAACATTTTTATGAATATTTAATCTTATTCGCGCGTACATACACGCACACACGCGCGCGCATTGTAATCGTTCAATTTTGTCACAATGTTGCGGATCTTTATGAATCATTGTCAATCTCAGTTTATCTTGAGACATTCGCTAATACCAGCTACACTAAAAATTTCTTAGACAAATTGTAAACTTTATACTCCTCAATAATCTTTTAACTTTTTCGAATATTAAAAGCAAGTAAATCTGATTTTATTTCTTATTCTGTTTGTAAAAAGAAAAGCATAAAAATAATTTAAAGAAGACAATCCTATGGACCAATATTAGCGAATTGACTGATAGTATTCCTTTCTATATCGCATTCATTCCTATTGATTCTAATTATAGACCTTCATAGCGATTAGCGACGTTTATACACGATACGATATACAATCAAGTTTTTAAAGCACTTAAGGGAAGAAAATACACGACTCTGATTATACGTCACTAAAAATGAGCTCACGAGATCCTCGGTGATCCTTTCTTTTCTTCTTCCTTTCTTTCTGTATCTATCTCTCTCGTCTCCAAAGTAACGTCTTTATATTATAGAAGAAAGAGCATTTGATTCTGATTCAAATATGATTTTTCTGGACCTGGAAATATAATTAATGTCATTGAAGATATCAATTATCCCAACTCTCTTGAATTATCTTTTTATTATTAATTTTTATTATTTTACATTACTATATATATGTATATATATATATCAGACAATATATTAAAGCGATTGGATAAGTCTGTAGTCTTCTCTTTGGAAAAATTGATCTTATTATATATTGTTGAATTTTTAATCGCTGAATAATACAAACAAGTTCGATGATTAACGTCCGTTCATTCACCAAGGATCTTTATATGCCGATCACGCTGGAAAATCAGTCACTCTTTTTTTCTTTTTTTTCACTCCCATTCTTTCTCCCCACTTGAATTTCCCCATTGCATGCACACATTTTTTTCGATTTAACTACTTACATTAATTAATGTCGTTACGTAGTGGCAATATTATCGTTTATTTTGACTTAGCCGATACACGAAAATTACGCAAACAAGCACAGAGCAGCGCGTCGGAAATCAATCGAATCATTTCAGAAACGAAGTAAATCGGCCCTGTTTCTTCCAAAGCTTTCCTTAAAAACGTAGCTATCTTTGATGATTAAACAAAAATAAATAAAAATCAAAGTAGCAAAACAAAAGCAAAATACTTTGTGAAGAAAGATCTATCATTGTCTGGCGACTTGATTATTATACCGGCCGAGCTGCCTCGCTTCTCAAATATGTCGATTCAATTATCTTACATCCATTCACTCGTTTCTTCGTTTTCTCGCTTTCTCTCCCTCTCTTTCGCTCACCGGGTATGTACACTTACGTACAGATATATCATAATATTTATACGTGTCGCAGGAAAAAAAAGAAACGTACGTTTATGTACACCTACATATTCTCGTGTGTGTGTTTTCGCTTAAAACACCCCGTACGATTGGCAGTATGTTAAATGTGTTTTTATGTATAATATAATGATTCTTCTTCTTTTTTTCTTTATTACGAAATCTCGTTTCGGATACGTACGCTCGTTTATCAAGCTTTTCGTTTTGCGAATAATTCTCTCGACTTTTCTCTATTTTTGTTTTCTCCTTTGTTCTGTCGCCCGTCGTATAAACGCACGATCGACGACATGATGAAAATTCACGAGTTTAAAGACAAATTAATTACATAAAGTGATGTTTCTCACTTATCTCTCACGAATCGCGCGCACTTCGTTAATTAGCACACTTAGTATTACAGTAATGATAGTAAACAGCGTTAATAGCGACGATAGTAGAATAGTTTAGTAATAGTAGTAGTTGTAGTAATAGAGTAATAGTAGTAGTGATAGTAGCAGCAGCAATAGTAGTAGTAATGGTAACAGTAGTAGTAGTGGTAGTAGCGGTAGTAAATCGTAATATAGTAGTAATGGTAGTAGCGGTAGTTAGTAGTTAATAGTGTAATAGTAGAGTGAAGTAGTTGTTTCTCGTCTCTTTCTGCGGGTGTTAAATTTTAATAACGGTATTAGCAGTGATAAGTAATAAATATTGTAATTCAATTATACGCAGTAATTTACAGGAGTGCTTTTGAAAACCGTATGGTAAGAACTGTTTTTACCTCTCCGCGTCTATTCTCTTTCTCTCTTACGCGTCTCCCCCCCCCCCTCTCAGATATCTCGCGACAACTGTTCTTCCCTTCTTATCCCGTATTTCAAGTGCGCGTTCCTCGATCGTGGTCCTCATTTCCTGAACTTTCTCCTAATCACTCTTGATTGGCACGAATCGCGAGGCAACATCCGCGCGAATTAACGACGACGTTCTCCTCCTTTCCTGCTTCTTGATTTTATCTTTGCGATGACTACGATCGTCTCACGTTTCAATCTGACAAGAACCGCGACTGCGAACAATATCGATATTTCATAGCGGCGGTCCTTGCGTATCTCTCTCTTTCTATCTCTCTCGGCGAAGCGGTTTCTGATTATTCGCATTTGATTAGGGCATCGCTTTCGCGCGATTTTGTTAATGGTGAAATGGAGCTAATCAGAATCCCAGTAAAATTATTAGAATTCTTTTTCGTTTCGACCTTTGACCTAACTTCTAATCCTATTAACCTTTTCCACATTGGTTTCTCACTTGATTCGTCGGTAAACACCCGCTTACCAGTCCGTTCTGTTTGCGCGACCAAATTTCCCGACGAATCGTCTGACGATTACTTACAGCGAAAAGACACGAAACATTTTCAGATTACGAAATAAAACATCATTATTTCGGATTACTTTGTTTATTTCGAAATCTTCAGTTTTTAAAACTGAAACTGACGATATAAGAAACTTTATTGAACTTTATTGAACCTTATTGAACTCTGAAACCAATTGCTATTAGATCTTCCCACTCCCTCGCTCTCCCTTCGATTGTCCTTCAATTAACGTCGTCGTTGAACAATTAACATCACTTAATCGGCGCTTTCACGAGTGGAAGTGGAACGATACGGTACATCAGTCGCGATTTCCGACGATTTCGTGGGGGAAGGGGGTTTTCTTACGCACGCACGCACATAATCATAATCATACGAACATACATACATACATAAACACACACGTACGTAAGAGAACGTTTCGTGGTGATCACAGCGCAATTCGGGCGTTCTATGAGTCTCTCCTCCGGAAAATCGTATAAAAAGTAAGTCTTCCTCGGAGACGATCTCCGCTCGATCGAGCCGAGGTAAGATTGAAATATTAACTCGCGAATAATATCGGAGGTTTCGAGCTCTCCCGGAACGTCCGTTCAATTATTCAATCACTGTCGTTCATGACGAGTTTCACTGCAACCTACCACCTTGTCTCTCGACGTAGCCGTCGCTCGTGCGATCTCGAGAGATCCATCTCTTTCGTTTCGCCGTGCGTCGTTCGCGTCAATGTAGAGCGTCTTCGACGACAGCGATGGAATGGAATTCATCTTGAGATGAATCCCCTCGGATCTTCGGACAATCGCGCCAGGCGATTGTTTCCCCCGATTCTTCTGACCCGCGCTCCAGGCTTCGAGATCGGATCTTCGAGATTCGCCGAGCTCGGCCTCGTTTGATTGCACTTCGATCGATTCGTAGAACCGCGCGCGTCGCACTCCTCCTCGTTCGCGGATTTCGTGCGACGTTGACATGTGAATGATAGCATCCGCCGATTTCCCCTTTCGTGCGCTCGCACAGAAATCGACTTCTCTGGTGTGTGTTTGCTGACCCTGTTCGGTCGCCGTGTTTAGCCATCGGAGATCGTTCCGAACATCGTCCGCCTGGAATCGTTTTCCCGTTTTCAACTCTCTTAGATCTCTTTCGGTCGCCGCAATGCCGTGACCGGAACAACTCCTTCGTGTAACCGGTTCCTTGGCCAGTCAAAATCTGGAGGGAAAGCCTCCAGAAGCTTCGTCGACCGCGGCACTTTCGTTCACCTTCACATCAAAATCAACGCGCGTCCCACGTGGACGACTATCACGCGCAAACCCTGAGACGCCTGGGGGCGTCCACGTTACCGGACCACCGTCCAGGGTCCCACTTTGGCTAGCACCAATCGTCGTCGTCACTGTCCGAGTGCCTCGACCTGCTCAAAAACATTATCCATCCGATCAAGACGTTATTACAATTTGAAGCAAAATGGACATATTATATATTTTCGAAAACGTGTTAGCAAATAGATTAAGACAATTTGTAAATCATTTCTCAATTTAATATAAAATCAATGAATTTCAGAGACTTAGAAGAGGTACTTCAAGAAAAGCCAAACAAAGACTAATTGTAAGATAATTAATTTTAATAATGGAGAAGATAAAATGAGGAGGGGGGATAAAGAGGCGGCAAGAAGCCTTTACCTCTCTCTAGGCGCTCTCTTGGGCTGCGGCTTGGGCTGTGGCTTGTAACCGTTGGGCACCGTGCTGGGTAGCGCACGACCACCGCGGCCCATCGCGACAGCCTGCTCGAAGCTCAACGGGTCATGGCTCGGCTGCATGCTGGGGGGCGGCATGTGCGACGGCGGATGCGGATGCTGCAGCACATGACCGGTCACGGGTCCCACCGGCACGTGGGCCGGTCCGCTCGGCGGCGCCATGACGTGTGGTCCGTGGGTAGGCGAGGCGTTCAGCTTGGGGAAATTGATGTTGGCCGGTTTCAGCTGTAGGGTCGACGGCTTATTCGGCGTCGGCGGCAGCCGGCGACCCTGGCCTCTCCTCGCGACCAGCACCGGATAGCTGTGTTGATGCGGATGATGGCGATGGTGATGATGATGCGGACGACCGCCTATCGGGCTGGGACTCCTCGAACGCTGCTCCAGACTCGTCGTGCCGTAATGGCCACCGCGCTCGATCCTGTGAACCGGACTCGGCGACCTGGCCGGACTTGTCGAGGCGCTCCATGGACCTAATTGAACACGCTCGTTAAAATCTTCCGGTCTGCACTGTACGCGCGGCACAATCGTTAAACGGCGGGGCTTTTTTCACACACGGCGCAAGGGTTGCTCGACAAGTAAATCATAAGCGTGTGGTTGTTGAGAAGCCGTTTAGGGACCTGATACGGGGGCCGGACAATTTTCGGATGGTAATTTTCGATATTACTGTTCGCTCGTAAAGATATTGTCTGATTAAAGGGCTTACAATGGAACAAAATTAATCTAGATTCAATCACTCGGTCTCTGTGCGAAAGTCGAAGAGCTCGATTTGTCGAAAAGGATTCAGGATTGACGAATTAATGATATCATTCTAACACTATATGTAACTCTATTAATAGTGACTAACTCTTTGTAGGGTTAACTATTATTTTTTTTTTTTAAGACAGAATGTCGACTATGTTTATTAAATGTGATATAATGAAAACTTAATTTAATAATGGAGTAATTGATGTAATTTTTCTGATTTCTACATTTTGCGAAATTAATCATTACGAGTCGATAATACGATTTTTGAAAAGTAATGAGAAAAGATACCAAATATGTGCTAGTTATCTTGAAATTATCCGAAGGAGGATTAGTGCAACATGCTTGTAGTGTTTTCGTGTTTGTAATGCTGTGAAATCAAGTATGTGCAATCAATAGTGCAAACACATATCGGTGCCGGTGCTCTAGATATTAACGTGTTTAAATTCTATGAGGCATCTAACGTGTCGCATGCGCACGCATTCTACGGTACTAAATTATTAAAGTACGGGTGCATCAATAATCGTGATAATCTCAACAGTTATTGTGCAAAATCCTCAAATTCTCTAATTCTCTTGCAGACAAGCTAAATTATGCCTCAATTGCATACAATTCTAAAATTCATATCGTTACGCCCGAGCGCCGTTTCACGAATTCACTCGCGGGAATGAAAAAAACTGATTTAGGAGAGTTTATCATTTGATCGTTCATCAATTCTAGAGATGATTTTGTTGCTTCACATCGATTGCCTCATATCGATTGAGTATCGCGGATTGTATAGGAGACACGAGGACGTAACAATATAATTATTTGAAAACTAGGATGTGAAATTAATTAAATACGCTGTAAAAATACGATCGGCACATACATTTTACATCTTTCAAAACAAATCTCATTGAGTATCGCGTCAATTATCTATATTAATCTATAAAATAAAAATTGTACTTGTGTGAATTGTATTTTAGAACTGAACGCACTATGAAAACATATCGACAGATTACAATAACGATCCAATATAATCTAAGACGATCGATTAGTCAATTTCTTTGATCGATTAAACTATTTGATAATCTCAACAGCGTCTCTAATGTAAAATAAGCATCGAGTAGCAACAAGAAGGAAACGCTTTCAATGTGAACGTGTTAAACATTAATGCTGTTGGTGTTGTACATATCGATTGTTTGAAATCTATTGCGTTTGTGGTGTCTTCTGTGTGTGTGTGTGTGTGTGTGTGTGTGTGTGTGTGTGTGTGTGTGTATTTACGTGTAAATGTATATCATCGCAAAACAGGTACGAAGAAAAAATTGTGAAAGCCAAACGATCGTATTGATTATGTAGTAACATCATAATTGCATCGTGGAAACAAGGGAATGAAGAAGAGGAGAGTTGTGAAAGAAATTACCATCGTCGTAATAGTCGCAGTGGTCGTAATAGTCTGTGTAGGCGCATAACAGAACAGAATGAAGAAACGTATTACATCGAGTATCACACAGAGCTTTTCTGCCTCGAGTAAAATCAACATTATAGCAACATTCATGTTTTTTTTTATATATATAAAAAAACCGTGACCACGAACTCTCTTTCGTTGCTTCCACTGATCGCCAAACAGATTGCAATCTACAAAATTATATTGATTGACAATTTTCAAGAGTGTAATAGAGCGGTGTATGCACTATCGCGGTTATCTTCGTAGAAGATAGATTTTCTGAAACAATAGTTTAAGTTTAAATATATCACCAAGCCGGTTGGAGATTAATCATAATTAATAAGAATCAATAATAATTAATAATATAATCAATAATAATCAATAATAATTATATAATGGAAATAACACCAAGAAAATGAAGGTATCGGTGATTACGGTGATAGAATAAATACAAGGATGCTGTGTTCGTAGTATAATCCAGGCTGATAAAAGACAACGAGAATAGAGAAACCGGTTGGGGATGACCAACACGAAATAGAGTTCGCTGTCGTGGTTCCGTGAAAAAGACTTATCGTTGCACCGTCATGGCTTTCGCTGGTCGGAATTATCGCCGGTACGTCGTACCTCGTATCCTATGCCGATGATTATATTGTGACGAGTGGGGATGATGTGTGTGCCTTTGTATCTCGACGAGGTTGCTAACGGTGTCGCTAAACCCTGGTCCTTCATGATAATGACCGTGATGGTCGTACCGGCCGTGTCGCCTTGGCGATGGCGATCTAGGCATTATTGGCGAGTGTCTTCTGCAAATTATGACAACAACGAGTGAGAAAATCACAACGCGTCGCGCAGCGTCGTGTAATCCAGCTAATACGTTAGCCATGTCTATAATCAAGTACTGGAAAATCGAAGACATCGGTGTCTTCGAACATCATCCTTGATTCAGTGATTTGGAATATATCGAAGTTTAATTTCCCCGATTTTAATGTAGTATATTTTACTGAAATATATCTTTCATTAATTTCTTTTACATTAGACTTTCGGGTTTCATTCATTTCTCAAATTTACTATTACAATTAGTCGCCCACAAATGGCCCTTCCTCAGAATTCTTTGTATCAATTAATAATATTAATTAATTAATTAATAACAATGCGCACGTGTGTGCGCGTGAATTAATTCTTTCCTTTTCTCGAGACTCTCTTGCTTACACACTACGCCCAATACCTTATACTTGGCGATCGCGAACGTTTAGGAGGTCCCGAGGGATGATGCGGACGAAGGACTCTGTCACCAGGATGCGTGAGACTCTCGAGGCTACCGGCACGCGAGTCGGACGGTATGACGTCTTGCAGCTCCTAAACGAGAACAGACTTGCGACTTAGTAGTTTGTCTGCGTAATTCAGAATCGGATCGGGAATCGAAGGGGGAGTCGGGGTGTTGCCGGTTCTTTGTCTTTAGCAATATCGCGCTGTTCGGTTCGCGCGCGTTCCGAACAAGAAGCTATATCGTAACACGACTATCGAGACGCCTTTTGTCTCCGGAATTCAAAAGCAGACGCACGTTTGACTCGTCATTCGGCTCATTCGTATTAGAAACCTATAATTAATTAAATATTATTCACATACATAGTGTATCTATATATTGTAAAGAATACGAGCAGTTTAGATTTTAGATCAATCAAAGTAAGAATTGAATAAATATATTTTCCGCTAATAAAATTAATGACATTGGTAAAATTTTACCAACTGTCAATTTTATTATTGCGCAATGTCGCAGTGACAATCATATCGATCAATGTTACACGAAGAAAACGCGGGATAATATTTTTTTTATTTGACACGTGCGATCTGCTTCTCTTTATAATTTTCAGCCTACACTTTTGTCACTAACAAAGTTAAATGTAGCTTCGCAAAAAGAAAAAATCAGAAGAAATTAAGAGATAAGGCGGCGTAAGAGTAATTCACACACAGAGATACATATATATGTGTGTGTTAAATGGCATGCAAGTTAGAAAAGTCTCGCTCATGCACATGCACTCGTCAGTAAAATTCCGATCGCTTGATTGGAAGAAAAAGGGAGGTGTCTTCCTTCGTGACGGGGAGTATCCCTCGCAAGAGTTGTGCTCTCTTACTTACTTACCGGGACGTGGACATAAAGAATCAAGGCAAAATGTGACAGACGAGAGGAGAACGAGGCAGTCGCGCGATCGTGTTGACTGCTTCGTTGCTCCGGCGATATAATCCTAAGGCCGAAAGCAGCAAGGGACAAGGGGGTGGGAGCTGTTCTATGCATCGACACGAGAAGAGTTCGCTAAGAACGTTCCGGGTGATAGACGTGACTATTTCTCTATGTGGTGTTCGCGCTAGAGCGTGTGTTTCTAGGTGTCATTTATTATTTACAGGAGGCTCTAAAACACACTCAAGATCAAGATCGATTCTTTCAGCGAGCAGTGAAAGAAATCTCGCGCGATGCGCGGCAAGTGGTAAAAGCACGCGATTCGTCCGACGTCAAACTACAATTTCTTCCGATTGCACTTCCGAATCGGTCTTGAGCGTTCAGGATCACGACATCACGGGCAATACCTCTCGATCCGCGCGATGTTTCTTGAATAATTAATCTTTAAGGATCGGAAACATTGAGATTCGGATTGATAGAGAACATCGATTGGCTTATCAAAACGGTTCGTCCTAATCTAATTTTAACACAGGTGTGTTCCAATTCGTCTAGCGGGAGTTTAACTGTTTTTTCTGAAATCTAATTTTATACTAACAGGACTTTTTATCTAAGGGCGTTCTTCGTTTATCTAGATGTTATTTATACAAGAATTTTTTTTGGGAGGAGGTCACATTTTCTAAAAATATACTTTAGGTGACACAATTAATTACAATACTAAGTGCGAGCATCCTAGTTTAGATCAATGGAGCAGAGCAAATTCGCGATAAGAGACGATCCTAATCTAGAATTATTTTCAGATAAAATAGAACGGTCTACATGATCTATATTTGATTACAGGATGTTTCTGTATCTCAATAAATTTTTATCATTAAATTGTTAACATTCGCGATAAAAGAATAAATATCAATATCGAGAAATGTTTTATCTATTTTAACAATAAATGCTTTAATGTGTACATAAAAATATTTTATACCATTAAAAGAGACAAAAATAATTAAATAAACATCTCTAATGTAAAAACTTGGCTTGTTATATTGAATAGATTCAACTTAATTTATTTGAATAAAAATTGACGCATTATTATTCAAAATCTATCAGTTTTACAGTCAAAATACTATAATGTGTCTTTTAATTCTTTAAATAAGATTAATTCCAGAAAAAAAGACAAAAGTTTCAAGGAAAATAGTTCCGAGAGCATTCCGGTTCAGAAACATCTTGCAGTTGCTACAGAACTAACACATCTTAAACGCATCGTACACACGGTCGCGATTCTTATTATGACTGACATTTTGAGCGAGACAACGGGCAGGGTCTTTTCCGGCTTTTTTTTTCTATCGCGATCTACTTCCGGTAGGGTCAAAGGGGGGGGAGAGAAGGACAATCTCGAAAAATCGAGGAAAATTTTTTTTGTTTGAGCTTGGACCGAGCCGACACCTTCTGGTAACGGATCGAGGAGCGAGGTGCGTAGGTGTTCTGGTGTTGGTAGTACGAGGGTGGTCGGTGGTCATGATGATGGTGATGGTGGTGGTGGTAGTATTGGTGATGGTCATAGTATTGATCATTGTCGGTATCGTAGTAGTATTGGTCGTGATGGTGATGGTCGTGGTAGTAGTTGTTTTGATCATCCCGCTGGGAGGACACCTCGGCCAGCAATGGCTCTAGCTCGGGGGCGCGATCCTCGCCATTAACTACGAGTACAACCCCAGACCCACCCCCTCCCTGGCTACTCTCTCCGCTGCTGCCTAGTATATCGTACTGGCGAGACATCTTCCAGTTCACCTTTTTGTTTCTGAAATCAGAGCGACCGCCACCCTCCGGTGTATTCTCGACAAAAAAATATATGCTGACAAAAAAATAGACTATATGCATCACACAATATAAAATTGTTAACATTTTTTCGTAATTTGCGAGGCGTCCGTTAATTAAGTTATCGTTCAAATAACCGTAAATTATATAAGTTCTGATTTATATATCTAAATTACTTTGCCTCTTAAAGAACCGGGCTATTAAAAAGTTTCTCTAAGAATATAATTGAAAACCTCTTTTATCTCGTCCATCTCGCATTTTAACGCATTTCACTTTTAACAAATAAGAAATTGCATACCTGATGCTACGCTGACGTCTGTGCTCGGCGGCTGCGAGGACGCCTAGGGCCCCTTCCTCCTCATCCCTGATGTGCTCTTTGAGTCGTTCCTGCTTCACGTCCATGGCCGGTCGCATCACCGGTTCCAGACTGTTCGCCCTACTTCCGGCTCCGTGATTATTTCCGGTGTGATTTACCGCCGCCATGTCCAGCAGGCAGTTGTAGAAGGCCGATGGCTAAATTGCGAAACGTGCGAAAGCACACCGGGCTATCAGAGCTGATCGACTGGGATCTCATTTTTCGATCAACAATTTCTTTCTTTTCTTTTTTTTGCGCTTTTATTTCTCCATTTTTTTTTAGTTTCCTCCGCATATATATATAATAAAAACTATATATATATATATAGATATGTACACAGGCACATACAGGCTTTTTTCTTAGCGTTACCTCTCGTCGGTGGGTCTCTCGAAAAATCGTGGTAGAATGTAAAACGCTTATAAAGATCGGAAGCATTCAAAGTCAAGAGTCAAAGTACAGTGTAAAAAACGGTGAGAAAGAATTCTCAGAGTAAAGAAGGCGGCCATGCTAGAGAAAAGGCATGCCGTGATGGTGCGTTTACTTGTGTCGATATCTTACGGCGGACTCTTCCACATCTCGAACTACTGTATATATACGCTCGAGAGAACGTGTGTAAATGCAAGAATAATTGCGAAACAGTAGCGTATAAATGGTATTGCAGCGGGATTACAAATTTTGTATTAGCGTCGCAAAGCCTGTATATGTTGATCGAGACTATGTTACGTATATCAAAAAAAAGAAAAAGAATGAGAAATGTTTGTTTTCCCCCATTTCTCCCTCGTATACGAAAGTGTTACACAAGTGGACACAAAATGCGTTAGTAAGGAAACGCGGTTAATCTTTTTTTGAGAGACGTAATAGTACTGCAAGAATGCAATTGTTAGTAAGCATGCACGAAACGGGCGAAGTCCCGATGTTCTACCACACTCGTGAGCGGTATCATTTATTTTAAACATTGCGATAATCGTAAACATCATAAACGCCGCGAGCAACTACGGACGACTTGTGTTTGCGTGATGGTAGAACATCGGATAGTTCACGCCGCAAAGATTATACAGATATGCCAAATAATCGTGGACAAAATTGAAATTCTGCTGCTTGGTATGCAAAAAACGGGTCTGAGATAGAAGTATATTCCAAGGTTTGAGGAATCTAGAACATGCCGCTATATGGGATGTCCCAAAATATTACACATTTCAATTATGATTATTTCCGCCTTCAATTCTCGTGAAAACGAGAAATATTTTATTGGAATATTTTTATTGTTGCTTTAGCAATATCGTCATTTTTGGAACATCCTTCATATATCGGTGATTTGTCAAGTGCTTGCTGAATCCGTATAAAAAACAGGAGCTGTATCTATCGAAAGACACTTAAAATGCAAATAAATGAGATGCGGATAAATCGTTTTTTTTTTTTTCATCTATCGAGCTACAAATTATTGCTTGCCACGAGAGCAAGTGATTATCAATGTTTACGAAATATTTATCAACATTTACGGTACATATCTTTTCGTAAGCATCGTCGAACACGCTCGGGTTGCTCGCCGTTAGTCGCGATTTACAGGAGCAATTTATCGAGATTCTCGCGGAACAGCTCATTCGTCAAAAACTTGAATAAATTGTTATTATGTGAAAGATATTTGGTTTACTATGTATCACAGATTGTGTGTTAAGGTGATTTATTTTGTGTCAGTGCGCGTTAATACGCGTGCGTGTGTGTGTGTATATAATATAGAGAGAGTGTGTCGAATGACGTGTGACGTGTAACTGAAGGAGCGAAAAATTGCTCTAGTAGAAAGCAGAAAACTGTTCTAGTAGAAAGTGATCGGATAAGTTGGGCAAGACTACGAGTCTACTGTTGAAATATCACTGGTCAAATATGTATAAAGTGCCTATTGATCTTCTCTACACTACTGCAGTATAAAACTCGTAAGAAACCAGGAAAAAAAGAATCTTCTCGGCATTAGCTAGCAGGAGCGTTATCATCAGCTGCCGCATTAACTTCGCACCGTAAGAAAAAGATGCGTTTGGGATTATCTAGCATCTAAGAAAAGAGAAAACGACAAACTTCAAGTTTCCAATTCTTCGCTGCGCGTGAGTTCACTTGCTTAGATATTAGATGATCCTCGAATCTGTTTTCTTGTTGAGATCAAGCGAAGCAATCGATGTCCGCGTGTAAACAATACAGCGCAATCACTTCCTAATAATAAAATAGATGATTATAACTTTCCGGTGATTTTTTTAATGACTGTTAATTATTATAGATACTCATTGTTGCACCAATAGTTTCGCGATAACTAACAATTTTTTATTATTAGGATGTTATATATTACTTGAGCTTGTGACGAGCACGAAGTTAAAACGCTTAGAGCAATGTAACTCCAACTTCTACTACTTCAAAGAGTTCGCATCAAACTAAATAAAAAAAAAAAGAGAGAGAGAGATGTTCGTCAAACGCTCGTGAGCAAAACGGACAGTCCGGCAGAATGAAAAGGAAGTTTCTACGTCACGCTCTAAAAGAATCGGCTATCGTCCAACTATACGTTTAATTAATCGAAAAAAAAAGGCTTGCTTGGCAAGAACAGAGTGTACATGTCTAAGAGGCGTTTGTCATAGATTGAGGCAAAAGGCGGGCTATAAATATGTATACGTTCGAGAATCGATTGGCTCATCGGGCTACTTTTCGCTCTAAATAGGCTCGAGAAATATAGAGCTCTAAGAGGTGATTTACTTACACATAACTATACCGGTATTGCCGGTCGACAAAGAGCCGATATATATCTACACGCGCGTACACGTGCGTATGTAGCCACGTGTCACACCCACGTGTCTGGCAACAACACAACGACTAAAACAACTCTGACAACGTGTCATAATCGTATATATCACTGCGGGAGCCTCTCGCACGTGCGGAACCTCGCCGAAAGTTAGACGGGGGGGAAGAGATCGTCTTCCCTTCGTGATATATAGATCGAAGTGAGAGCTATTCTTCGACGTTATCCTAAACTAGCTTGATAAAAGAAAACGTGCGATTAGAAAAAGAAAAGATACTCTCTGCAGAAAGGCTAAGTATCTAAGACTAGCTCGTGTACGAGCCTGATTAAAGATCTATTTAGGTATTACGTGTCTAACATGATAAGTGCCTAAACTAAAATGTATTGCCGTGTTAATTTATCGTACGCAAAACAGCCATTTATTATTTTTTGCTACTTTCTTCATCGTTGATTAAATTTTCTATCATCATCTATGGATACTTTGCGCCTTTTATGATTAAATTTCATTAATTCAAGATGTAAAAAAATTATATTTATCCTAATTCCGAAACATTTGTTATCTCTCTTTTCATTTTCTCTAATCTTAAAAAGTTTCTCAAATATATGATAACATGACATAATGTTACATGAGATTTTGCGAAACTGTGGTTTATTCCGAAATTGGAAATTAATTAAAGAATAAAATTTATATGATTTTATATGATTATGTTGATTTTATATAATTTTATATGATTTTATATGATTATATAATGATGAACAACAGCTGTTTCGCTACGCTTTTGTGTAGTGTGTGTGTGTATGTGTAGTTATGTTAGTGTTAAATAAAAGGCTACTTTACAAACGAAAGACAGATTGAAAGTAATCGTATACACTTATGACGAGTGAAAAAAAAAAGATTGTGCGCGGTGTAAAATAGAAAAAGGTGTAGGTACCAGAGGCACAGTAGTATATAATCTTACCATATATAATCAAAAATAAACATAATTAATTTACAGATTATATCGCACAAAGTGTTTCGCGTAAATATTTTATTGCTTGAAACACATCAAAAAGATAAAAAAAGTAATGTTGCGTTAAAAAATTTATTGGTCTCACAATCAGAAAGAAAAAAGTTATTCCGTAAATCACGTTACGCTGAGACACTTTGCATATGCGCGATGCATTTCTTCTGCATCCGTCGTGTGTGCTCTGGATAATGTGTGTGAAGAGTGAAGTATAGAAAAAATTGGATTGTGAAAAGTGTTATCTTACAAAAAAACAAATGAATTATATGCTGCAAAAGATTCGCTTCTTTTCTTGGATAATAATGAGATATTTTTATGAAAATATTAGAGTGAAGATCGATAAAGAGGTCGGGGAAACTTTTGCAGTACGTATTTAATGGAAAACGGACGAGTGTGGTTAGAATTTGAACACAAATCGTACAGCCAAAAGAAAAACGAAACAGTGTTAAGATAAGATAATAAGTAAGAGAAAAAGTAAGTACTACCGCCTGGGCTGCAGGACTTTGCCCAGCATTATCGTTATCGATAAGATCGTTATCGTTCTGGAAAACAAAGAAAAAAGACACAAGGAGATGATTGGAACTTGTGTGGACATCTTTCCGATCCAAGTATATTTTAAAAAAATAATTCGATCGGTAAATTAAATGTCACTGTTAAGTACTCTAGATATCATTAATCCGTTTGCTTAAAAATTCGTAATTATTTTCTCATTCTAGAGATCTCCAATAAAAAAATAATAAATATCGTGTTCTCTGTTATCTAAAAGTCTAATCAAAATCCATTCAAAATTTTCAGGCTATCTATGATGTACAAATATTGTCGTTCAATCGATCTATCGATTGTCATTAAAAGAAACTTTTCGATGGATATAAACGTAATTTTTAGTCCAACATCGATTTTAAACGGATGATATTAATAAATTTTTTAAAAATAGATTAATAGCAATCGATAGATCAAAGGCTGATAATCTATATTAATTACTTGCACAAATTTCATTGAGATACAATGTTCGAGTAAGATCACATCTAACTGTTTCTACAAACATTGACTTAGCTATTATGAATAAAGTGAACAGTTGTGAAAATAAAATAATTGTGAAAATAATTCGACTAAATAGTTTGTTGTTTCTTGTTGTTCCATTAAGTTTAATAGGACTACAAGTAAAAAGGTATTATTTTCTTCCTGCTATTTTATCCCTTTGTATAGTTAAATTTATTTTCCATGGTAAATTTGAAATCAACTTTTATGTAAGATATCAAGATTGCAATTTAAACATTTAGTACAGATTCTAATAAATCTACAATTCAAGTATATCTATTTATTTATTAGAAGTATCTCCATTTGTACTCGAAAAAGTTTTCGTGACAATATCCAAGCTCCGAGTGATCCAAGCTAGACTATACGAGATTTTCGGAAAATATTCTATTCGCAGTTTCACTCGCGCACGGCAGCCCTATCACGAGGAAGTCAACGACAAACATTCGCTCGAACTCCATTCTCAATCGAGATCCTCGATTTCGATTTTCCGTTTCGATTTTCCCGCAGCAAAAGTTTAGAAGGCACACACGATAGAATCATTTATTTAATACATATTTATGTACGTATTGATTTACGTATATTGCTCTTACATTTAATTGCTTACTGGAAACAGGAAAGTCAAACAAGAAAATCGTAATTGAAGAAACACGAGAGAAACTTAACACTAGGAACGTATCTTTAAAATCTGCCGTCGTTCTTATGAAAAATATATAGATTTAGTTCGACAGAAGACAAAGAAAAAGAGAGAGACTCACCTGTTCGGTAGACTTTAGCTGACCAAACTTCGTCGACCTCCAACTTTCGAGTATCAGAAGGCAGACGTATATCTTACCCACGGTGACCTTGTCTCTGCCCAACTCTGAAAATAGAAAATCATCGCGCGATCATCAATGTTGCAAAATGCATATCGTTGGGTGGTGAAGAATGAACTTTACCTTCGTTCCTAGGTATCAAAAGATCTAACATCTTTTTCGCTTGTAAAGGCCAGATACTCCTGATCGTGTCCCGCAGTTCTTCATTGGCTTGATTCATTTCGTCGGCTGAAATAAAGAGTTGGAATTATTCACATATCGTATGAATAATTATTGCAATAGCAGGGTAAATAAAAAAGAAATAAATGCATAATAAGACATTTGATAACATATTATCTTATAACGTTTATATTATGATGTAATTCTTAACAAATACATTTTTCTAAGAATAAAAGATTAAAATATCGTTGATTCTGATTCACAAAAGACACAAAAATTGAGAAAAATCGCATTTATTTTATCGACAACTGTTTATTGCAAAACGACAATAGCCACTTTCTTTTTCGATGAACTTACCGCATCGCATTTTTATGCTGAGATTCTCGCGAATGAGGGCGAACAGCGTTGTAGTGAAGTTCACCTTGCCGTCACCGTCCATCGGCATATTCATCCTGATGAGCTTCTTGTACGCGAGCCGATTCGGGCACTTGTTGCCAAACCCCAACGGCGGGTCCATATTCTTCAGCATGTCGTACATCTCCGTGTAATGAATCTTGCCGGTGGCATTCGGATCATACTCGGCCCAGATCCGCACGAACTCGTCGAGATGGTGGGCGCCCAGGATCGACGAGTCCCGTGTGAGATAATCGAAGTTGTCCATGATGACGGCGACGAAGAGATTCAGCATGAGAAACGAGCAGAAGAAGATGAACGACACGAAGTAGGCGTAGGCGATGTTGGAGCCGCAACCTTCCGGCCCCTTCTCGGCCTTCGCGTCGCAGGTACGGCCCTTTACGCAGTCCAGCATGATGCTCGGCCAGGCCTCCCCCGTCGCACACCTGAGAAAATCATATCTTGAGCGTTTCTTTTACGCTTTTCGTGTCACGGTGTTCGTAACAAGAATTGTGATTACTTTAGCGACCTAGCGCATCACATATGTGCCGCGATTATTACGCTAATATTCTCAACCGCATGCAGACCTTCCAATTCTAACTTAACCGATGTTAAATACCCAACGAAGTCGCCAAGGTTATTGCAAAAAATTGGCGACTTGTACCTGAGAATAGATACGGCTATGTACACAAATCCATATTTGATAATTATTTAATTGAAATTTTGATTTAATTAATTCAATACATCAGTCCATTAGGGACTCAATAATAATTTCGTAAAAACAAGTTTACCGAAATGTTTCAAGATTTCGAAATTTAAGATAAAAGTTATTATTACTGATAATGAGAAACACTTATTTCATTTTGTCTCGTTAGAAAGTTAGAAAATAAATCAATTTCATCGTGAGTGAATTTGTGTTGTGAATATTTATTCTCAAGTATAAATTCTTCTGTACTACAAACAACCCCAAGTTAATATTTTTAAGCAGCACCTTATTGCAATTGCAAAAAAAAAGTTAAACTAAAATAGTTGCAAAATTTCATGCGATATTCTGGCGAACTAAGACATTGCCTCTTTTGCAGCACACGTTAAATTTAATTTCTATAATCTCCTCAGTCCTTTAATAAAATCCTAAATTTAATAAATTGCTATATGCATCCTACTTGTACATAAGAATTATATAAAAATAAATAAATTAATTAATTACATAAAATAAAAATCGATTATTAACTATTTTTCCATGTTAAATTTGATTCAAGGTTATTATTAATAATTTTTTAACGAGCAGTACTTTCATATATTCTGTTTCGAGACTGAGGAGAAACGAACAATTGGGCCCAGTCCTCTTGCAAGCGCGTCATGCATAAGGCCCTGACAGTTTACGCAACATCAAAGGCGATACTAGATATACTGCAAACTTAATACGGCGAACTCAATTCTACACGAGGCTGCTGTGTATTATTCTGTTTGCTCTGAATATGCCGTGTCATTTAGTCTGATTCTGCTTTTGTGCTCGACTTAAGTGCTGGGAACTTTACAGTACGTGGTTGGATCGAAGCGAAAAGGCCTGCTGTGAACATACATCCGGAAATAATACGAATTAAACGATTAGAAGACTCCGCGATACTCGTGATAATTGGGACGCTCAACGTGAGAATGGCGTAAGTTGAGAAACGACTTGACTACTTTTGGACTGGAGGTAGTATTTATATTTTGGCTTGAATAAAATTTTAATGAAATGTCTGAATGTTTTTTTTTTTTAATTTTAATATACAATTAAATAATCTTCTTAGATATATTGTAGTGGGAATGTGCAAGAGAAATTAAAATCTTGAAAATTTTTCCACATCTTAAACAAAACAAGTCGGTGCAATCTATTTTTGCAATACTTGCGATACATGTCTAGTGCCATGTAAGCAATTTCATTAATTAAATCCTCGTTACGTGGACGTCACCAAAGATCAATCTGCTTTCGCATCACAATCCGAAAAAAACTTGGATCGTCTTCTGCATCGTGCTCTCGCAAATCGTGACAAAATGATAAGTGATAGGTATAGCTTGCCGCAGAGCGTGAAAGCTCATTCGATCATTTTTGCAAAATCGCGCTCACAATCGCGTGGCTCAAGGTCAATAGCTAAACAGTTAGCTAGATTCCTCTGGCGTGGGGCGTTACTTACCGAAAAAGCAGCATCAGACCTTGTATGAAGCTTTGGAAATTGTTGTGCTTGGTAATAGAAGTATCAGCATCCAGCGCGATGTTACCGAATACCTGAGACCCACAGAAAGAAGAGGGCCGCAGCCAAAAGGCACGAGCGGCATTACAAATTTGCGTCACCAAATATATATGCTTTTTTTTTTTCTTTAAGTAATAACGGAATATCGAACGGAAATAATTGGAATGTCCTCTGCTTTCCTTCTCGCTGGATGACCACCATTTTCGATCTTTTGTATCGCTTCGATCACAGTATTTCGTGTATGCGGTTCTGTATATAAATGTAGTATCATAGAATTCAATTCTAACTACAGTTTCTCATACTTTTTCTTTCAACAAGTACACGGTGTACTCGAGAGAATTGTGATTAAATTTATGCGTTAAGACAAACGGTTAAATTATTTACGCCCTTGAAAACTCTGATTTATAATAAAGCTTTTTTCCTAACAAGTTCTAATAACGGCAGAACATCAGCTATAATCAATATAAGTTTATGAAAAATTATATATTATGTAAATATATATATTATGCGATACAAGTAAAGTACTAACTAATATAATTTGTAATAAAATTCATTCTCTCAAGCACCACCTTAATCAAAACTTCAAGACTTTAACGCAGGCATCACTATAAGAAACAGACTTCTCTATAGGGCTTGTTACTAATTGGGATGAGTCACAACAGATTAACACGTCGAGCAGCTTACTCTCGCGTTACAGCTCATGCCAACAAAGCATTACTCTAGAGGTAAGTTACGACCACACTTTTATATATATTCCCCTCGACTTCTCGCTCTACGGTCGACGATGTATCTCCCATCAGTATCGCACGAGATCTTTAACGGTGCTTCGCCGAGGGCCAAAAAAGGACGGCTAGTGATCAAAATTGCGTTCATAATATTATATTTTTACCAAATAACTGCTATAAGCGAAATTGAAGCGTCATAAAACATTTAAACATTGAAGGCACATGTAACAGTTTTTCTTTTATAATGCACGACCGATATGAAAGTAAATATCTCTCATGCTAGTCTTCCGTGACGTCGTAGAGCCCTCTTACGATACATATTCTGCGAAACATCGTGAAAGATCGCGACGATAAACTAGCTGTGCACCAAAATCGTTTCCCTCTCACGTACGAAGATAAACTTTAACCGAACAAGTAAAAAAAAATTCTTTTCAATTTTAGAAGAAGGCAAAGCCATTAGCTTATTTCAGAAGCTGTTTCTTCGTACGAAAGGCAAATGACAATTGGTCAGAGGTCCTCTCATTCGTCACCGTTCGAACCGGCAGTCAATCTAGCTGCTCGACTCACCGAAAAAGCAACATAAGACCGGCGAAGAAGGACTGAAAGTTGTTGTGATCATCGATCGCTGTTTCCGGATTGTTCGCTATATTGCCAAAGACCTGACAACGGACAATTTCAGGGTCACTTAATGGCCACCGGGGGGATCTGCTGTCTGTCACTTAAAATTCCCAATCTGCAAGGTTGCGCGTGCCAGAAACTATTTCGAGATTACCTCGACGTTTCTCACCCGACTCAAAGCTGAGATAATTACATGGCTCTCGCTTTTAGCGAAATCTAAATGACGTTGCACGTTAGCGGTAGCAATTCCTTTACTTTGTCGACATTGGCATTGATCTTGAAGATCATCGGCCAAGTATGTCTTTTAATCAAGAAGCTACTATTTTTTTCCGTATAAAATCAACTACCAAAAAAAATCTTTTCTATGCGACACCAAACATATCCCATATCTGTTTCCTTCTTGTAGAATATATTAAGATAATTATTATTCGGCTTATATCTATTTCTGTATAATAATAAATTTAATCATGTAATATTTTTTAATTTTAACCTTCTATCGCATTAAACTTTTAGATCTTGCTGTCAGTCAATTAGTTGCTTAAAATAATCATGTTACTTCAATCCCGCACCCTTCTGCAGCCCCCAAAAGTGCATTTAATGGAATTCGTAGGGACTTTCCAAAGAAATCGAAGCAACGGAAGAGGGATTCATACCTGCATACCGATGATAGCGTAGATGAAGAACAGCATCGCTATTAGGAGACAAACGTAAGGCAGAGCCTGAAAGAAGATAGATTTTTATTATCGTTATCTCGATAATTAATCGTAGCTGTAGAAATTGATGATAAATAAGGCTAAATTTACAATTGACAATGCCGAATAATAAGATTCGAGTTAATAATTGTCGCACGTTAAATTGAAAATAATGCGAGTCAACGATAAAAAAAATCAGGATTTAATTTAACGTGCTTACTTTGAAGGATTGTACGAAGGTCCAAAGTAAAATTCGTATCGTGTACCCCTGCCTGAGTAGTTTGATCAGCCTGGCGGCGCGAAAGAGCCTCAGAAAGCCGACGTTGATGAAGTTCTCCTGCAGGGGACAGAGGAAATTGCACTTAACCCCACAATATACCGACTCCTTATTGCGCGCCAGGACGGAGCTTCGTACGTGCAACGTTTCGGCATTGCATACCACCAACGCGTCGAAGGATATATCAATCGTTTCGGCGTGTTGCATTTCCCTATCCTCGACGATGCACGAACGAAGCTGTCGGAGTAAACTGGCATTTTCTCGCTGGATGTTAAAAGAAGGGCGGCAGTAAAACCTCGTTGAAATTTCGGAAGACCTTTTTTTAAGAACGCAAAATCACCGTCGAAAAAAAGGTGGAACTAATTGTAATAGAGTCACTAATAACTACTCATAATCATAAATAATCATTAGTATTATTGTAGAAATAAATAGGATATTTTTTTAACAAGCAACTAATTGTATTTCTGTTATATTTCAGTAGATTAAATTAGTGGTTTTCTTCTTTTTTCCTTATTAAAAATCATTCTTGTCTTTATACGAATTTAATTTTTATATCAATACAAGTATAAGTAGATTAGTTCCAAATTAATGCGTTCGTGTGATTTAATTAATTAATTAATTTGTATATTAATACAAGTTTAAATGGATTAGTTCTAAATTAATGCGTTGATGATTCTCAAGTTTAATTACATACATTAATAAAGAATTATGTTTTACTATAATAATTGAACTATTTTAATTATTGTAACGCAATTGCGTAATAAATTCGTAATTATGTTAACCCTTTTGCTGTAACAATTGAACGTCCGATTGTTGCGTCGAAGACTCTTAATCTAAACGAAGACGATTAATAAGTCGAGATCGAAATAAATTAGACACCGCATCCATATGCCTTTAAAATATTGTCTGGTAATGTAACTACAGTGTATAACGACTATCTGAATTTGTGATATTCAGTGTTGTAAAATGTTCGAGACTGTTAGTGTAATACGAATATAGTTGATGTATTCTGAAAAGTACATGCACAGGATAAATAAACGGGATAAAAACATATTAATCTAAAAAATGACTTAGGAAGGGCCTCGAGAAAAAGAAAATATTATTTCTGAGAAACCCAGTTGTCTTTTTGCAAATAATCGGAAACAAAATTATGTTGATTATCATCACCATTTTAGGACAATTGTTGCTAATATGTAATATTGTTATATGTAACAATAATAACATATAAAGATATTTATATTTGAAATCATAATTGCAGCTTATCGAAAAGGAGTCACAAAGAAAGATTTATTTTGGATTTCTACGCAGCAAAACTAAATTTAGAGTTGCGGCATTTAATATTAATTCTGTACTTACAACGTCATAACTTCCTCCAACTTATGTCGTTAACGTAAAAATTAGATAGTAATTTTATACCTTCTTTTCTAGCTGGCTACCAGTGAACAGTCTGATCACGTCCCTTAACTGGTCCTATTACAGAAATATGTGAGATTGCGAGATTATTCCATCCCCAATATTGAGTTTTTGATCGTTCAACTCTTGGCATTTTGTACAATAAGAGCAGAAATACTAACGACTGGCAATCAACATTAACGATGAGTAGCTTCGTAAGCAGCTCACTTTGATAATCAGGACCAATACTCACTTCACGATAATTCTATTCTGTAATACTTCTAAGACATATCTTTATGAAAAATATTCTGCAAGCGGCAGGCAGCAAATATACAGATTTCGACACAAACTTTTTACTGGATATTTTTGTGAGATTTGCAAATCAATATTATTCATATCCTACACATATTATCGGCTAGATTGTAATCGCTACATCAGTGGAATCGAAATAACATCACTATGCGATTTGGAAGGAATCTTTCGGCAATATACCCTACACGGTATTTGCTCCTTTCCATCTTCCAAACTACAACTGACATTCGTCAATCTAAGTCACAGAATATCAGATATCACAGATATAGAAAGAAATGTTCCTAATACGAAGAACGGACAGGATTTGTATCGGGAACATGTTCATGTTTATGTATATATGTACATCTGTATGTATGTACAGCTGTTTTACTACATATTAACTGCGTAAATGTATACTGTGCAAATGTAGCGATGTACAGTGTGATGTATGTATGTAGCGTATGAATGCAGCACGAAGCTAAAAGGTAATACAAAAGTACTTCGGTTGTCGTAATTTACCTGCTAGCTCGTCACACGGGTTTTGCACGGCGAATCTAAGTAAGCAGCAAAAGGGTTAAACGAAAAGATAAAGGTACACATCAAGCAACACTGCCGCGACGATTAAGGGCCATTATCATAAATGTGTGTTCCGACGAAAAGCGCATTCCGACAAATTCGTCTCGATGGGAATTAATCTAGCATGTTGAAACAATCGCGATGGCAAACAAAATTCAATTTTCTCTTGCCAAAATTAAAACACCCTTATATTCTGCGATAAAATGTATAACATTATTTTCTTCAAATCTTGAAATATAATTCTACGTTTTAATCTTGATAATTGAACGTTCGTTATAAATATGATCGAAATAATGTTTCTTTTTCTATAAAAATTTTACACAATTATGTTATATTTGGCATACACAAATGTACCAAAACGTAAAACATCTCATCTAGCTCGTCCACATTATGATCACTTTTATTTGCGTCAACATGCAAGATCCTGACATTTGGAGCGATTTCATCGAAATAACTTCTCATCGGAGCAAGCAATCATAATCACAGCCTAGCCTCGGGTTTCCTGAGAGATTCCCGATTACATGTGCATATACCTGGAAGATTTCTATTACGGGTTTTAATAACTAATTAACACACTTATACTCTCTTTTCTGCTACTTTCCGGTGCTCTACGTACCCCGAACTCGATCACGAGAGCGTCCACGATGCTGCCGATCACCGTGATGAAGTCGAAGGTGTTCCAGGCGTCCTTGAAGAAGTTCTGCTCGCGGGAACAGTTGAAAAAATTGATTAGCAAAGTGGTCTCATCGTCTCGATTGAGTATTTATTTCTACTACCCCAAAGCTCGTTAAACAACTCCGACACGTTTTCCATCGCAACAGATGCAGATCAAAACTCAAATAATTATCGGTACACGATTCTGTACACGAGCAATCAGAATCAGGATCAAGACACCATGAAGAGTAAGAATAAAAAAGAATTGCCAAGAAAAAAGATTCGCAATTTAAAAAAGAAATATGTAGTCGATGAATAAAACAGATGTTTCCTAATGTCATATAAAATTATGAATTCAAGAAGTATCGCTCTAATTAGATTTCGTGCCTCCACTTCGTGAATATGAACGAAAATCTATATAGAAGATATAGTCAAATATAATTTCTTTCAGAAAATCATTTTGCGTGATATTTTTCATAAGAATATTTTTTTAATCACATTACGTATGTACATTTAAGATTTCTGCGTTGATATATTTAAGATTTCTTACCTTTCTGTCGTTTATTCTAATAAAAAATCATTTAAGAATAAAAGAAATAACGTATGCAAACTAATGCTTCATCGACGAATGATTTATTGCTGTCGGTTTGATTCTTTTATAATCTTCTTATCCCTCGTCGTGTCTTGATTTGTATAATAATAGATATCAATAGCAAGCAATTATTAACATGTTCAGTAATCTACTGAACGAACTTGGGAGTAGCTCGAGTGTCTGTGAGATGTTTGCTCAGCTACCACTAAAAAAGAAACTACGAGTTCGACTTCGAAATACAAAAAAAGTATAACACAAACTGCTTCTTCTGAATGTACGCTATTTATTTTGTGTAAGAGTGCCTGTGTACGTGTGTTGTGTGCGTGTTCGTGTTCGTGAGCACTCCTATTATGAACGTAATACTTATTAGATTAGATTGAAATTCTGTAACGTGTGCCTTTCTGAACGGTGCTCCTGAATGTTGTAACGATCGTTGATCAGATCTCTTCGTCGTAAAATAGTTTCAAATTATTTCCGTTTAATCTTTTGTGACGATTAGTAACTTTATATTATTTTAAAATGTAGCAAACTACAATAGTAATTATCAAAAGTAACAGTTGTTTATTTTACAAAATGTGAGCTCTTGCATTTTAATATATAATGAATTTAATATAATTTAACTAACTAAATGATTAATAAAAGATATTTCTACATAATTTTCATTGTAAGTTTTAGTCTTTTCATTTTTTTGTACAATTACGATGGAACAATGTATAAATACTTGTAGAATTTATGAAGACTTGCAGAATTTCAGATCCATAAAGACGAAGACATCTGTTCGCAAAAATTTCTTTTAAAGCGTTTAACCAAATCACACGCTTTGGTGATCGATGATCGGCTATAAGTGAGGGGATCTCTTCTAGAAAAGTATCTACGGGAACATGCCGGTAATAGCAAGCAAACTAGAGAGAGAGAGTAAGAGAGATAGAGACACGCGAACTTGATATTCAACATTTTTCTACTTTCGCCAGAAAATAGGAGTTGTCAGTTGGATATTACGCAGTATGTTAAAAAACGCAATATTAAATTAATTATCCAATTTCTATAAATTTCTTGTATAAAGTTTGCATCAAATAGTTCATTTTTCGATTTTCTGACGATTTTTCCTCAGTGAAAATGTAATTAATCGCTGCTTTTGTTTAAACTATTTGATTTGCAGTACTACTTTTTAATAATTATCGTATAAAAATTTTAAAAACAATCGTTTTATAATTAATCAAAGAAATCAAGATTTTAATATCTGCTTGTCCTTTAGAAGCTTAATTAGAGTTAATTAAGCCGTTTAATAATAGTTCTATTAATTCTTTATATTTACTAGTGTTAAAATTTGATACCTAGATTTCTAACATTCGAATTAAGGAAATTCAGTAATATAATAATTTTTTTAAGTGTCCTGTTTTCTGGCAATTGCTACCTCTTAATACCCATTCAAAATACTAGTAGAAATTTCGTATATCACACACAAGTTTACTTTAAATCTTGATAAGTCTACTTAAGAGTCTACTTAAAGGTACTTTAAAGGTACTTTTCGTTTTCGCGCTAAACAGATTCGCGATGTCTCGACGTGTTCCCTTCTGTTCCTCTCGCCAGTTTTTAGGATCCCCACTTTCTTCACGGAGAATCCTCCGACCGGTAACATCACAGAGAATCAATGACGACCGGTGAGTGATGTCGGTCTCGATGAGAATTACAAGTGGTAAAAATTTGCAGTGTGAGTCGAGTGAGAGTGAGATGGAATTAGAGTGATTTAAGAGGCTTGTTTATACCTTGCATCCGAAGGCGACGAGTTTAAGGATGCACTCAATGAGGAAAAGGAAAGTGACGACCATGTTCACGACGGTCAAGAAGTCCAATAAAACTGGCGGCGCTTCGTGATACTACAAAACATGATACACCCAACACACAAACGTAACACAACCCAGACTCTAATATTTCTTTGTGCGCCCTGCATATATATCTATACGTATATCCCTTTTTTTTTTAATTAGTCTCTGTATTCGATTGCTCCCTCCATCTATTTTTCTCGTCCGAGTTGAACATTGCTACTGAATTGAAGAAAAGATTTTTTTTTTCGTCCACAAGATAAACGTTAATTAACCAAGAAATGTCCGTTTATTATTGCTGTAGTTCTATATCACGGTGTGTAAGACTGTGTTCTATATAATTCGTAATTATAATTTTCATCTTTGTATTTTTTTTTTTTTTAATCTTTTCCTTAAAAGTTCCGAATTAAAAGTTCGTATTTTAATTGTAAATCCCTCAAATGTAAAACTTTGTAGGGAAAGATAAATTTTCCCATCAACTTTAACCGCTATCTTGTAGATCGTCAAGTTGCATTGCCTTTGCATCATATATTATATTACATTATTATACCGCAAATAACAGAGACACAAAGATTATATTGTATATCAAAGTACATCCAAAAATATTACAAACACACATTTATGTATATTATTTTACAGATTGCTTTAATGCAATTATTCATTATATAACCGTTTCATAAAACTATTTCTAATCAAAATAACCAAATCTGATCTTTTATTTTTTATTTGTTTATTTTTAATAAGAAGGCATCTCTTCTCCCTGCCAAGTTACCAAGCAAGTCTAACCAATCTCTCACAGGGTGATTTTTCAAGAGACACTCGTCATACGTAAGTCTCGATCGGTGTGTGTGTACGTTGAATACGATGTTCAACTCCGTGTGTGCTGAGTGTGTGCATGTGTGAGACAGAAGTTAATGCGTTTTCCCACAACACAATGACATGCGTGCGTCAAATAGGAGCGAGGAGCGCTTTTGCGGCTTCTCGGCTTTAGTTTTGTCGCGATCACCATGGATCATCGTTTTCATCGTTATCATTATCATCGTCACATAATCATCATTATCATCATCATTATCACCATTATCATCTTTATCGTCGTTGTCGTTACTGTCATCGCCGTTATAGTCATAGTTCCCAACCCAACAATACGCAATCATAATTGTGATGTACACATGCGAGGGTCAAAAACATATCAGCTCGTGCAAGTGATCACGTGCGGATGCAGGCAAGGCGGGCAAGGCATGCAAGGGATGTCAAAATAACAGCGCTTTCTTTATGTACATCTTTCCTCGACTTTCAAGACTTCCTCTTGGATTAATTTCCCGCCCGTTTTCGGTTTGAAAGTATTTCGAAAAATCAAAATGACGAACAAGAAAACAGAATACACAGAAGATAGAGAAAAGAAGTATGAAAGGAAGAAATATAGACCAGAAAGAAAAAGAGAGAGAAAGAGAGAGAGAAGAATAATAAAAAGAAGAAACAGATAGACAGAAAGAGCAAGAGAAGGCAGACGAAACTGAAAATAACCCGATTGTGAGAGTTATGTTCTCAATTAGTCATGTTTGAGTATCTATGAGTGCCATATGAAGGTTTGTAATGTATGAATCTTTGAATGTCTGTATAATATCTGTAAGTGTAATTTTGTACTTCGTGTGTTAGTGTAAACTACATGTTAATTAGAACTCTAAGAGCGCATCAGTAAATTATGAGCCTTATTACACATCTTTCATCAGATATAAAGCGTAATTGTAATAAAAATAACACAAAACATTAAATTTTCGCGGAAACTCATTTGAAAATATTTAATACTACGATCGAATATCTGTGTGCATGTGTGTGTGTTTTAGTTTTGTGTATGCGTGTGCGCGCGCGTATAAATATGTGCAAACAATCGATAGACATCGATATTTTTGCAAATATCCGATCGTAGTGCGAATTCTTTCAGCATCTTGTATAAAGTCAGTGTAATTGGCTTATTGTGATAACGGGATAAAAGAAAAAATAAGTTAATATCATAAAAAAATAAACAGAAATAAAAAATGCAATTTTAAATTTACAATTAATAATTTAATCCCATTATCATCGTGTTCAGTGTGATTATGAATGTAGGGAACGACTTCTGGGAAGATTTGCATTGTTTCTGCTTATAGCATTTAATGTATAAATACATTTGTGATAAATACATTTTATATCCAATTAATTTATTTGTCTTTTTATTTTGTTTTTGTAAAACTTTGATTCAATTATATTGATTGTGCCTGATTATGATCTCCATATTAAAGAAACCACCAAAAATTTTCTTTTGAAAGTCAAGGCCTCAGATAGCCACAGTAAATAAAAAAAATATAAAATTCACTAAATGAATAATATGACCCAAGAAAAACACATACGGCTTGGAAACACCGATAAAAATGTTGTATTTTCCCATTTAGCATCGAATCTTTAAGAAACATATTCAGACTCAGATTCGGAAGTGAGAATAGAGGAGTTCAAGTGCCTTAAAATGCATTTATACGTCAAATCTTCCCAGATTGCCCTGAAGCTCGATTACGTGTACAGAGCTGAGCATTTTTTCTTTGCATACTAAAGTACTTGTAGAGTTTATCTGTTGATACAATCCCAAGGACAGAACAAGAGTACGAGTAATAAAAAAAATACAATTTCTATCTAAATCTTGCAGCTATATCCTTGCACAGTGGGGCACCATCGAAAAAAAAATACCATTCTAGTTCTATCGAGATACATATCTATATATTCGTACGAAGGTATATTGAGAAATGGAAACGCTACAACTACTCCGACAGCATCTAGCGCTTGTTCAGCCCTGCGCACAGAAAGTTCACTAAATAGTATACTCTATATATACTTGTAGAGGTATACACGCGCGAGATAGAGAGTATATGTACGGATATCTCCGGAGTACCGAAAGTGTCTCGATATTGTCGTATTGCTACATCGGCATCGGTACTCGCGAAGAACCGCTTCTAATTACCTTCTAATAAGCGGCACTTACCGGGCGACGCGAAAAGTGGCTCCATCGCAACTTTCCTCCGCCTTTCACTAAAATTGTTACAGCATTCTGATATTGTTTTATTGAGAAATTAATGTTACGTATACTCAAAATGCGTTCAACGTTGAAATTATTTCAATGTTTTATTAATTATCTCGACAATACGTTTATGTCGCGCGATACGACTGTCAACTATTTCGACAGCGCGGCGGCGAAGAGATTCGGTGAATTTCTTCAGGCCTTCCGATTCCGGGGAACGGTCACGAGGAGAGCCACCTTTCGCACGACTCGACTTGGCGAGAATCTCGAATTTTAATCTCGCTTTATTCGGAATATACTGAGAGCTCGATTAGAGTGAGATGTTGTGCGGTATGTGGAGCCTACCTTCACGCCGAATGCTGCGATCTTCAGTATGCACTCGACAGTGAACATCCCCGTAAAGCACATGTTCATGTACTTCAGCGTGTTCTTGTACGTTTCGGTTTGCTGATGGAACTGCAATGCATACACTGACAAACACACGGCCGAACAGACAGACATACGTACGTACGTACAAGCCTAAAATCGCGTGTCTCTAGACGAGACCTTTTTTTTCTCTTTTGCTTTCTTTCGACACGACCCTCTTCCCTCCTTCGATCACCGTGGATGAGGAAGGAAGAAAGCGGCTCTGTTTTTCATTTTTCCACGATATTCTGTGCACCGATACATGAACATTCTGTGCTGCGCAATATATACCGTAAAACGGAGTGATCACACCAGCAGGATGAAAAATTGCCTTGAAAACAGAACGAAATATACTGTGCAATTCGGAATTGCAATTTGTACAATTAAAAATATTAAATAAAATTTATTTAGTAGTTTCTCTTGTTAATTATAAATTTAATATCACGGTTAAAACCGCTAATGAAATTAATATGCCATTATGTGTTTAAAAACGCGCATAATTTTATACAGAAAGTAATTATACATAAGAGAAAAAAATTTTAACTGCACATTAATATTTGCACATTTACCACGATAAAAACGCTTTGAGCAAAATAATCCTAACATTTCGCGTGAAATTAACCTGCTGAAGCATTATCAACCCCTTCATGCTGTTTTATTTGCATAGCGCCGTAGAAATTGCATCAAATACCAGAATCATGTCAAATAACATCAAGTAAATAAAGCTTCTCGAGGTAAGAATAAAAAATTGTATAATGAAATTCCAAATAAATCGTTATGCTCGAGAATGATTCGCGGGTTTATGTTACGTGTCAGCTCTTCGGGTGTCACGAATTGGTACACAGTTTAGTCGTACATACGTACAGCGTGTAAGATAAAGTGCGAGAAATATATGCAAAATTACATATACGTAAAAACGTACGAGTGATGTACGCCTATTCGTAAAATGTAGAGGGGGGGACGAGAGGGGGGACATTTTCCTATCGTCGTAAAAATTTATATGTGTATACCATTTATATGTGAGCCTAATCGGTATGCGTGTACATTAAACATGAAAACGTTTGTTCTCTTACATTCCTGCGATATCATTTCGTCTTTCGGCGAGTGTGATGCGTATGTCAACCATGTGTACGTGGATATAACCAGTACCATTACCTGCACTTCGCAATGTATGTCTCTCTAATCGATCTGTTAACGGTGCTATGAGAGATATATCAGGCGTGTGCTGACGTAAACTGATGATCGACTGGTCTTCTGGATCAATGGATTGTATATCGGGAATTTTTTGAATGACGGACTCCGTCGGACGCAACGACAAGAAGAAAAAGAATTATTTAACGTAACACACAAGAAGAAGTTTCGCGATAGTTTCCTTTCGTGTTACATCTTGTAAAAATTTCAGTGATGAAAAAAAGACTTTAAACGTACACGAATATAAAATATATACGTTTTACTCGTGAGAAATCTGAGGCAAAATAAAAAAAAATTCCGAATTAACAACGTCGTTGATCCTCTTTCTGCCGTTATTTCCCACGGAGTTGTGGACCGTAGGTGGGAGTCGGTGTCTGAAGAAACTAGTCGAAAAACCGATAAAGACTGTGACAAACAAAAAGAAAGAAAAAGAGAAAGAGAGAAACGATCGGAAGATATGTAAAAGAAACAATGGAACAAAAACACTTAAAGTGAATGGACTTCCGGAACGAAAAGAGTGCAGTTCAATTAACGAAGGGATGGTCAGGAATCATGAAACTTCACTTTTCGAAGTGCTCAGATCTCTTTGCAATCTTCCTTTTCTTTGTGGAGAAAGAAGGAGAGGATGAAACGTGCGAACGTCTCGTGCAGAGTGTGTTTCTTGTCGCTGTAAAACACACACACACATTCAGCAGATATCTAATATTGCTGTTTCGTTCAGTTTCTAATATCGGTCGATTTGTGTCTTGACGGCAGCCAGCATGCGACACGCAGTTTTGCACGTGTGTGAAAAGTGCGGATGGACACCCTATATGTATATACACATACACATACATCGTATCAGCCGCCGCTATATGTCGAACAAGAAGACAATCAATTACAATCAAAGTATCGTGCTGATTAATTTGCATTGTATTATATTATGGTAATAAATAAATGAATGTATTATTTACTATATATATCTGAGAGAGATTAAAATAATTCATTTTGTGACTTCAAAGTGAAACATCATACATTATAGATAAAACAAAAACTGTAAGTCACAAAATATTGTCAATTATTCCCGTTAATTATTCCAATCACCAGATACTGACGGGCAACATATTTTCAGATAAAATACAAATACATAATGCATAATTTTATTGATTTTATCATTTTATTTACTTTATGCTGTTATTTATCATTTTCTATTTCACAAATTTTTCCTTTCAAAAATGTCAAAAATACACAGATTGCTTTTACAGCGCAATAATAAAATATTGTTGTCTCCTCGCTCGTGTGCAAGCGTGCCGAGCAACGTGAACACATCGTGTTTTACTTGATATGTGCTCTCAAGACCAGGTGCAGTGCGTGGGGATGTGATCTGAACATTCTGTGTTTCTTTTTTCTCAGGCAAACAAGTCCGACCACAAATCATATAATTGGGCGTTGCGTAAGGATTCGAATTAACATAATGTGTATGTATGTGTGTATATATATGTCTCTAATTCAGGCTCAGGCTGTGATCTCGTTTAAGAGAGACAGAGAAACGAGGGTAGATATTCATCTCGTGCGTTCAACTGTACTAGTTAGAGGAATTGGAAACCAAATGAAGAGACTCAGATTAGAGTATAGGACTCGGCTCAAGACTGAAAGCGTGCGTGAATCCGTGTGGTCAGTTCTCTCTCGTCGAATCTAACAACGGTGAATGACTAGAATTTGAAAGCAAATAAAATAAAGACAAAGTTCGTGGAAAAGATGCAGCGCGATTTATAGTAACAATATGTAATTACTAACAATCAGAAAAGTTAATAAAACAGATATATATTCAGGGAATAAACTCTTGATTTGTAACTCAATTCAACATTCAAATCTATTCAACCATCGTTATTGATCCAATAAAATAAGCAATACATAGGGAGGACGATATAAAAACAGTTGAATAATTAATTATTAAATTAGGAAAATTTTTGAGCGGTTCTCTAATAGTTATGTAATTATCATAATAAAAACGTTAAACAGTTTTAATTAGTTTTTCCATCGAAAACTAATAAATATACTATTTTTCTGTTATATCGAATTATAAAAGAAGTACCATAAGTGAACCATAAATTTCTTTGCATTGCTTTTACTTAGCTAAAGATTCAATTACTTGATTTTAAGTATAAAAAAACAAAGTTAAGTTGTTATTTAAATTATAATATTAAATTAGATTTATTAAGTTATTTGTGAAAAAGTTGTGATTGTTATATTTCCTGAGAGAGATATCAAAGAGGGAAAATCAGACAGCTTACGGGCAGGAGTTAAGGGTGCTAAGAACAATTAACACGTGGATTCTCACGTGCAAGGCTTATAGACGCCGAAAAGGCGCAATCTTTCGGCACCCTGGTTTTCTAAGTCAGTTATACCAAGCGGGGACGAGTTGAGGTGCAACGCTTCACCCCCGTTACCAGTTAAAACATGGTATTAGCAAGGCAAATGCAAGAGTCGAACGCACGTTGTATTGGTGTCTGTACATGTGTGGGGATTAGACTGATGTTCGAAAACGTGTTCCTTCTTCGCACGTCTTCGAATAAGTCTGCTTCGTCGAAGACAAGGACACAGCGGCAATCATGCAATTGGAATGATGGATCAAACAGAAATCAATTTTAAGATAAAGAAAAAAAATAATATGAAAATATACGGCGAAGTTAAAGCAGAATAATCGAATAAAAAGAAATTTTTATTTTATTAATCTTCAAAACATTGAGATAAGCAAATAAATTTATATTGTAAGTAAATAAATTTGTGTTGAAAGTAAGTAAATCTATGTTGTGAAAATTATAAAAATTAAAATGTATAAATTACACAATGTACAAATTAAGTTTTTAAAAAGTTGCTAATTTTACATTTTCGAATACTGCGAAAACTATGTGGTCTTTAGATATTTATAGAATAATCGCAATTAACGCATTTTTTAAACAAATAATCAAGTTTTATAAAAAATTATTTAATATTTTGAAGATTGAGGTATCATTAATTTACATTTGCAAAACTTATTCATCAAATATTATAAGGCATTATCGAAAAAAAACGCAAGATAAATTCTCTTAAATTAAGTAAATTGCATATCAATTATTGTTAAAAAATATAACACTATACATTAGTCGTTCAATTATTAAAAATATAAAATATTTTTAGAATTCAGGAAACAAGGTGTAGAAACGAAAACAAAACAAACATTATGTCGTTCGAGAGGAAGAATTTTTGCTGGAAGAGTTTTCGGGGAACGGGATGAGATAAAATTCGACATAGCTGTGTACACGTATTGATAAAATACAAGGGTGATACAGTTATACAGAGAAAACGATCAGAAAAGGTCAGCAGGCAAGAACAACAATGTCCTCGTACGTATATAACGTGATATATAGACATGGTACAGTCATTCGGTATTACGTACTCTGCTTGGACATGACATATTCTCGTTTACGATCTCGCGTATCTTTGTTAATGCTAACAAGAGACGAGACTGTTTGTCGATTGGTTAAAGTTGCCGATAGACCTAACGGGTCTTACGCCAAGAGAACGCGCGGATATTGAAGAAACTGGGAACGACAAGTATCGCAGGACGCAAAGATAAACGGGCGATACATCGCAATACCAGAATTGAGGCATAAGCAAATTTTTATTCCTAAGTTAAAAACTATCTCAAATTATTTTCTCTTTAAGTATAAAGAAAAGGATTTTTAGATTGACTTGGAAATATCTTATTTTGATTTTAAAGTAAAAAAAATAAAGAACGCTTTCTGCTGCTCGTGCATTCTGAAAAAATAATAATAATTTGCACTTATGCCTCCTTCGATTTGGAGCCGCGATATGAGGAATCGAAAACAAAGCTGGCCACGAAGTTTACAAAAATTCTTTCGAACTACTTTCAATGCTCAAAAGCATTTTTATAAATCTTAGTGCGTATAAGTTTTATTTTCGACCACTCGCATAAGAAGATTCGTATTTCAGAATACTTTCTTCTTTCCTTATTCGCGTTTCCTATATCGAAGCTAATCGGGGAGAAAAATCGATAATCTGATTAATGAATCTCTCTAGAGAAATTATAGTGCGAGAGAGAGATATCGTGACACTTACCTTCATCATAAGCAGTAATGTGTTCAGTACGATGAGTATCATGATAAAATATTCGAATGGCGTGGATACGACTATCCTCCAGATTTTGTACTTTATGCTATTCCGCTCCTTCGGCATATACCTCTCGAGCGGACGAGCTTGTATTGTAAAGTCTATACATGATTTCTGAAAGATTAACACGGAATTATTAATCTCTTATTGTTGCTAGTGAAATTTCGTGCAATCGTATGTACTACTGTCTAAAATGCGGTAGATAAAAATTAAAATAAATAAAAAATTAAAACATAAACAACAAAATATATTAAAAATACTTGAAAGAATCTATGATTTAAGAAAATTTTTTTATATTTAAAAATAATTATTTATTAATGTATAATAATTTTATATATTTAATTTTTATGACGTATATAGAGTGACTTCAAATTCCTCGTTAATTTATCCAAGTTTTCGTAGAGACAGCTAATAAAATATGGAGCGCACATAAAACTAATTCAAGTGAAGATGGACATGAGACATTACCTGATTCTTATCGATTTCACCGTCCTGCAGTTCAGCTTCTCCCTGCTCCTGGAACGTGATGATAATCAAGGCCACGAAGATGTTGACGAAGAAGAATGGAAAGACGATGAAGTAGACGATGTAGAAAATGGACATTTCAATACGAAAGTTTTGGATGGGACCCTTGTCCTCGTACGTGGCCGCCATCGAGTTCTGCAGGATCTGCGGCCAGCCTTCGCCGGTCTGGACGGCGAACAGCGTCAGCATGGCCACCATCACGTTGTCGTAATGAAAGGACTGGGGTTCCCATTTCCGTTGCATGAGCTTCGGTAGCATACTATTCTCCTCGAAAACGAAGTATTGACCTCTGTCGCGAAAACAAAATTAGTCTCCACATCTACTCGCGCCATTTGTAAAAATACGATTTGAGAATAAATACGCAACAAAAAACCTTTTTTCAGTTTCTGCTTCATTCGTTCTTTTAAAAATTTATTTATGTCGCCTATTTATCGAGACCAATATTCTAGCTTTATATGTATTCTCTCCGAAATGCTTTCTTCAACAAATAGAAGCGAAAAAGCCGAATCAAATAACATCAATAATACTCACTTGCAAGTCTCTTTTGTATACTTGCTCTCGTCGGTGCAGTAGAAGAACTTGCCGTTGAACAGCTGCACCGCGATCACAGCGAATATGAATTGGAACAATATATACACTATGAGAATGTTAATGACATTCTTCAGACTGTTCACCACGCAGTCGAACACCGCCTTGAGCTTCGGCACGCGCTTTATTGTCTTAAGCGGCCTGAGCACTCGCAGCACTCGCAGCGACTTGATGGTCGAGAGGTTCTGGCCGGCCGAGCTGCCGGTCATGTAAAAGGCGAACGACACCATAGCGCATATCACTACGACCGCGTCCATAATGTTCCAGAACTCGCGCAGGTACGAGCCCGGGTGCAGTATGATGCCGAGGTCGATAATCTTCAGCACCATTTCGATAGTGAAGACGCCGGTGAACGCGTAATCGAAGTAGTTGAGAATCTCGTTTCTCCAAGCGTGTTCCGAAACGGGATCCTCGGCGGCTAGCGCGATACTCGACAACGATATTACCACCATTATGAAGAAGTCGAAGTACCGAAGGTTCACGACCCAGTGGGCGGCTCTTCTTATGCTGCAAACAGACAATCTCGTTATTCCAGCGATGATATCGTTCTTAAGATGAAAAGAATAACATACATGTATAATAGATATAATATATATTATAATATATTAGAAAATATCAAACTAAATAATAGACAATATAATCGTACTAGTAAAAAGTAGGTCAGGTGTCTGCTGTGCTCTTTAATTTATGTGCTAGTGTCAATTGATTTTATTGATTTATTGAAATAACATTATGATTTAGTACAATGTTTCGTATTCTTGGCGAGGATTACAGAACGATTGGATTATTATTACTTACGGATTCGTAGGGGACAGTATAAACATGGAGGAGTATGGCAGCATTGGTTTTGGTCCCGTGTCGTCGTCTTCATCCTGCCTCCTCTCTTCGGACGTCTGGGTTTCAACTCTTCCGTCTCTGCTGGAAAAGACGAGACGTCGTTCTCCACTCTGTGTCTCTCCATCAGTATTGCTTTTCACACTTTTTAATTTTACATTCTTTTTTAACTTATTTACATTATGTATTATCTATTTCTTTTATTAAATAATTACGAATAATTACTAATCAGTTTGTTTTATTACGAATAATTAATAATCAATTCGTTTCAATCATATAGTCTTATGCAAAATTAAGATTTGTGCAAAGTCACCAAATTTATGTCCAAGTTTCTGTGACATTTCCTATTCTACCTCACATAGAGATCACGAACAGAAACTCGAGTTCAAGAAAAACCGACTTCGTGCAAATTTTATTAGCGCGTCTTCTAAATTATTCTTAACTGCGGAATGTCGAAAAATTTTGTCTGCTACACAGAATACGCGAAAGTATATTATTCCGATTTTGAGTAGAGAATCTTCCATGAAGATCTTTCACAATTCATATTAATCGTAAAAAGTAATAATTCATTGTAAATAATATGTGTTATTTGCTACGATAAAACGTCAAGAAGAGACGAAATTTTTACGAATATAGCAAAAGGGGTGGATGACCTACAAATTCTGAGTTGGACTTGGAGGGCAGATTTCCACCCTCGGCGCGTTGCCGTCCCCGGGTCTCTGCAGCGACTCGATCTCCTTCTCGAGCTCCTGCAGTTGCTTCTCCTTGTCCTCCTCCTTCTCCTCCTCCTCGGCGGCGCTCAGCTCTTGCGCGTTCGCGAGATTGTCGACGGCGATAGCCAAGAAGACGTTCAGCAGAGTGTAGTTGCCGAAGAGCACCAACACGATGAAGTAGAGCGAATGGGCCATGCCCTGCGACTCGATACCCTTGTACATCACTTCGTTCCAGTCTTCTCCAGTCAGGATCTGCATCATTATCATCGTCAATTACTACACCAGTCAGAGTATTCTATAAGGACGTCTAATCTTTTCTACCATTTACTAGACAATATACATGGCATTTATTCTCAATAAGATACTTAATTTTATTGCATCTAAAGTACACAGCCAATGAGACTATGAAACAGATACTTTTCTCGCCAACGACGCCAACTACATATTTTCACATACTTAGAACAATTTTATACACTTATAAAAGTGTATAAAATGCAATATGAAATTAGGTGATATTTGTGAAAGGCTCGAGCACAATTTATTTACAACATGGTAAACAAAAGATTCATCATCTTTTGCATAAAGTTCGAATTAAATATTTATTAGAATCGTAATAACATTTGTGTTGTACTCACTTGGAAGACAGTGAGTAGTGCGATGGGAAAGGTGTTGAAGTTAGTGGCTGGCGTGCCGTCCTCGAAGTTGAATTGGCCGCCGAATAGCTGCATACCGAGCAGCGCGAATATGAGGATGAAAAGGAAGAGCAGGAAGAGGAGGGAAATGATGCTGCGCATCGAGCTTAGCAGCGATATCACGAGGTTCCTCAGGCTCTTCCAATATTTGGTGACTTTAAAAATTCTCAGGAGTCTAAGGGCACGTAGGACGGAGAGGCCGAAAGAGCCGGTCCTCAGCTCGGACCAGATCACCTCGAAGATCGAGGCCGAGATGACTACGCAGTCGAAGCGGTTAAAGCTCGATTCGAAGTATGTGCGAAAACCGAGCGCGTAGACTTTTATAAACATCTCCATCATGAAGAGGCCCAGGAACACAAACTCTGCGATGTCTGCGAATAAAAAAAAGAAGAAAATTAAAAATTCTGGAACTCTTTTAGCTCTCGAAAAGATTTTATTCTTTTAGATAAAATAAGTTTCCGTTATATCGACATTCTTCAGATCTCAGCGGGTTGATTGTCAAGGTATCTTTTAGTAAGCTAGTTTAAGCAGTCGAATTTTGACACGCTATGTGAGCCGTTAAATAGAGTAAACAATTAAGTTTAAATTCTGCGAGACTCACAGAGAAACTTGGTGAGCCATTCTGGCTGACCGTAATGCTCGACGGCCACGCAGACGGTGTTGAAGAACACAAGAACGATGACGAACCAGTAGAACTGCTGCGACTTGACGGAATTGCGCACCCAAAACCTGAACCTTTTTTCGGCCCGCCAAAATTGTAGGCACGTGCCCTGCTTCTTCACCTTCGACTTGAAGTAGGAGGCTCTCGAGAACCCTACAAAGTATAAAACACTTCTTTAGCGTAAGGTACAAGCATAAGGGACACTTAGAACACATTTTACAGACACCGGTCGACTGTTGTTAATTAAACGGCATTAATAGCATCGTATACACTTGTATTTTGACGTTGTTCATAATAATTTTTGCTTGAGTTGAGAATTTTTTTACACTATGTCTACGTCTTCACGTTTCATACTACTTGCTAAGCTATTTCTGCGATTGTGAGTTCAAGGATCCAGATTACATGATCCAAAATATGATGTGATCTATATATTAACTTAAAATTCTTTGAGATCTTTGAACATTGGGAATAGTGACATTCTTATAGAAATTTTTTTGGGGGAAAAACGCATATTACGATCAGAAAAGAAATCAAATACTTCTAGAATTATTTCGTACATCGACTGAAAGAGTTAGAACATTTTATTTACCTCTCGGTTTAACGAAATATAGATGTAAAAATAGATACACAAAGTTCTATACTAAATTATTCTACCAAGCGGTTACGACTATGATATGACGATGCGTATGTATCATGGCTACTTAGTTGCTATGTGTAGACTATGTGTCGACAGGCTGAGATTAGCCTATCTATCAAACTCTATAGGACGGGATTTGTACACTACTCAAGGGATTCAATTCCTCGTTTGACAATACTAGGTACTCTACTGATCTGTCAGCTTTAACTAGCTAAAATCATAATTGTATAATAATAAAAACATTAATCAGTATTCCACCATCACACGGTACACCTAAACAATGTAGAAATATTTCCGCCGGAAACATTGGCACTTAATCTCATGACGTTGGTATCAATCGTTAATCAAAATTCATCTCACGGAAAAAGAAAGATTATTACGTGTTATAATTATCTTTCTTCCCCCCCCCCCCCCCCCCCCCGTGAGATAAATTCTGATTCACATAGTAATATATTATTTCCTTGATTCAATTGCCTGGAAAAAAATTTGTAACAATGTTTGTGCGAATGTCTCCGGTCCCAAAGAAAATCTAATATTCATGTATCGCCACACCAGCTAATAGAAGCAATACCTAAAAACAAAAATGAATTAGCTTCCGAGTTCTCCGATCAGTCTCTCGCGCAAGATCCGCGTGATCTCGATTGATACATATCAGCCACAAAATCAGCAGCAAATCGGTCCGAATAATTACATATAGAATGCAATAATTACATCCTCTACCACGAATCATCACAGCCTGCGATTTTAATATGATATATAATACGTGATCTAGCTATGCGACGATCATACTTCGTCTGGGTGTGTAAAGTATGCTTTGCCAATTATCCTTTTTACGCGCGAGCAGAGAGCGAACCACAATTTTGTATGTATTAAGATGTGTAATTTTACATTAAAAATTTATTTATTAAAATTATATAACTGTTACAAATGAGCACTTGAACTCAAATAATGATATTTTCACATAAAAGATATTTAGATATTTAATTAATTTTTAATCATTGCGCTCTTTAAACGCTTATATCGATGTAATTGTCAGATCTTCAAATGTTTTAAATAATATATGCGCTGAAAGAATATATCTTTAACCAGAATTAGGGCTGTCAATAAAATTATCTAGGTCCGTTATTACTTATTAAACTACGATTTCAATGCGATCAGATTAATTCTTACGTGTTTAAGTGCAATAGAGCACGATAATTAATACATCCTGCATACGTGAATAGGCATCAAGTAATTCATTTACTAAGCGGTGGCCCGAGTCTAAGTCATGTACTTGTGATCATGTACGCACGATATTACATGTACGTGTGTGTATTATTAACAAACAATCTCTCAAATAAAAATACAAAAAATAAAACAATTATGTAAGATTACGAATACAGCCTTATTTTACGTAGCTCTTTGCGAAAAGTCGTGGCATTCACGGTTGTAGTTACCTTTGAGCTTTTTCTTAGGCACTGAAACAAGAGGAGCATCTGATAGCGTGTGTTTAGAATATTCATCGGCAAAAATTAGAAGGAGATAATTTTCAGCGTCGTTCTTGTCTTTTCCTCTCGATACGAAAGATAAATCAGGCATAAACCCACAAAAGGTATTAACAAACATGTCGATGAACGTGAAAATAGGCTAACGTGCCAATAAATGGAGAAAATTTTAGAACGAGAGAAAAGGCGGGCCAAAATCTCGAACCAACGATTCCCATCGCACCATACGAATTCTAAAAAATATATTACAAAGCTTTTATATTCACCAAACACGAAATTGAATTCTTAGCTAATTTTATAGCTCGCAAGACTAATTACTAAGATAATATTAATCACAAGAAAATAATTTAAATTTGTATATATTAAATTTTCTCTAAATTTCATTGAATTTGCTTTTTAATTATTTCACGCTTCCAGAGGAAATCGTTAGTTGATATAACATAAGTTCTGACTACTGAGAAATCATGAAAACCCTTACTACTTGAACTTGATCTCGATTTCACAAGTTCGTTCGAATATTCTGACGAAGAATCATCAACTCGAAATGTAAAAGAGGTGAACAAGAAGAGAATACTTGGCACAACTGGACACCAAGTTGACCAAATACAACTCACCATCGTCCTGGTCGTCGTCGCCCTCCTCCTCCTCCGTGTCGGTGCTTTTGCTCTTGCCAAGATTCTTTAGCTTCTTCTTCTTTGCCGCCGCTTTTCTTCTTACTGCGCAAAACAAAGCGGTAGATTAAGTTACGTGAACATTCTTTGTAAATTACGTCCTAATTATTTTTTTAATCAAAACGTATAAATTTCCGATTGAAAAGATTATTGATAGAATCACGAAAAAATCGTATTTACGAAATGTGGTAGTATAATTGCGATGTCTTTCATTTTGTTCTCTAATAAAATGAGTCTAATAAAATGAGCATGAATCATATAATTAAATTGTCTATACATATATTTTTCCAACTTATTTAACTGCGCGCCGATTTTTTTATCGGACTTGAAACAGTTATTGTTGGAAGTAAGAACCTTCCCTCCCCGAATACACGAAAATTAATATAAGGCTGTCAAAGATCTAAGCTTGGACCGTGTGGCTTTGATTCTAATTTGATTATATATCGTAACAGTCCTATTTCTCTTATTATTATTATTATAAATTATTTATATTCATATTTCATATTGAATAAAATCGCATATAAATACAAATTGTAGATCATGGTAAATTTTAGAATCCCATAAAATGTCACTATTTAAAATTTGCATGTAACATATGCAAGTGTATCGCCAGAGAAAAAGAATGCATGTAAGAAACGAAAATAAAATAAATATTAAAATCGATATTCGTTAATACCGTTAAACCAGCTATTAACAAAGTTAATTAAAATCATGAAATATGAAAATGCCTTGTCCAAGAATAAGGCATCCAATGCATTTTTAGCGAAGGAAAAAATTGAAATCTATTCGACTGCGTCGAAAGAAATGCGAATCACTCTGAGTGCACTCTGAGTACACGGTGCATTCTATATAAATATGTACGAGCACGTTTTGGAGATGCAACTCGCTTCGCAAATCTTTTCGACTTTATGGAAGTGAATATTCATGGTATCGATATACGTGGCGTTATATGGACCTTCTAATATGTGCATTTTCTCCTCTTCCGTGGTCCTCTCTTCGGCTAGTATCACCTCCTCTGAAAAGTAAACATTACGTATTAGCAGTAATTCGTGTATTATTATATTTTTATTTACAAAGAAGCGACTCGCAAAGAGTCTAGCGTAAGCAGTGTGAGCTATAACTTTTGCAAGCACATTGTTAACAAAATAAGTGAATTAAAATAGATTGATAAGGGAATATATATATAATATATATATATGTTTGAGAAATTTAATTTTTAATCAGGTAGTAAAATATAGAGTGCATTTATTGCACAATTAATTTTTTCGTCTGTTTTTAGCTTTATTTTTCAGGTTAGAATAGGTTTTAAAATTCCGTGTTATTTGCTTCATATCTTCTTTAAAAACTACAATTAAGATTTTCGTAAAATAAATTCCTGTTCAATCCATTTTAATTCACATGTTTTTTTTCTACGGCGATTGATCTAACCTGCTTTGCAGATCCAATTGAGATAACAATTCAGTTCGCGCTCAAGCTGCTGCTGTCTTCGCAACTTCAGGAAGGTCTGCCGGTTCTCCACCTTCTCTCTCTCCTTCGCAAACTCTCTACAAGCGTGATACAGATGACATGGCAGCTTACTCAGGAGCATAAAAGCTAAGTTTAGCGGAGGACTTTCTGGCATTCCGCCGTTAATATTCTAGCGATACTGCCTTGTTTAATAAGTCAACAATATTTACTCGTTTAAGGAGAATGCCATTGGGAGTATTAAAAAAGAAATGATATTTTTCTTTGCGAAATACTCTTCCGTAGATTCTTTCAAAACTAGCTTACGCCGCCATGGGAGCCATACTCGGGATTATGATGGATTTATTATTATTAATTACTCTCTTGCATACGCGTTATTTTCACTTAATCAAATATTTTAAATATCTAGCATTAATTAAATAGACGAGCCAATGTCTAAAAATTCATATTTCTAAATATACAATTTACATCGTATTCTCATCGCGTATTCAGCATTGTACAATTGTGAATTCTTTTCACACTCATCAAAAAGCACAATATTATATACATTAATATGCGCAAATATGATATGAATATACTATAGATTAAATCACGATAACCGTAATTTACAAATTGAGAAATCCATAGTAAATGTTTCTAATAAAAGAAATAAATAATATTTAAGATTATTAACTAATCATTGTATTTATTTTATATTTATGGTCATGACAGTTGTGCTAAACACGCTAACAGAATACGGTTTATTGCACACTAATGTCAGGCAACGTCTGCTAATTGAAAACCTGCTTGAGTAATCCATTTTAAGTAGGAACTGAACGCAGTGGTGAAGAGGCGTTTGCTCTTTGCTTTCCGATAAGCTGCCCGCCGTTCGACGCGCGTTCTTTCGTTAGAAAACTCCCTGACGAGGAAAGAAAATCATTCTGAAGTAATCGACCTCGCGATCTTGCCGGATTGTCACTCCAGAAATTGTCTCTGGGCGGAAGGGCCGCGGGATGCTGTCAGAAGGGACATACTCACCCGCTCAAGACACCAAGAACTAAGTTCAGCATGAAGAATGATCCGAGGACGATTAACGGTATAAAGTAAATCCAGTTGTACGTGCTGCCAATAGCATCATTTGTCTGCAAATTCGATCAGAATCGGTATAAAGAAAGCAACGTCGCATATACACATATGCACCGGTTACACAGCCGAAGGTATATTAATTAATAACGTTATATGCGACACAGAGGCACTGGCACTGTAATCTCGCTGCGCCAAACACGACGTGATAAATGTGATCGTCCGAGTGTGAGAACTCAAATTTATTTATCGTTATTCGATAATATTCATTTCCCCTCACAAAGAATTTTATCCGACATGAAGAAAAAATTTGATCTAAAAAATATATCTCGCAGATTGGAAATCTGCCGATCACATTTACGCAAGACAACGTCGGCTTCATGAAACTTCAGTATTACTGGGGGTAACCCGTGGAAAAAAAATACGAGAGAAACATGCCATTTTTTTTTTAGACTGACCTGAGACTATACTCACTACATCTCTCTACTCACTACTCGCTATCTCGAAGAAGAATCTATAAGTTATCAGTTATTTAACACGTCGACTACCATTGTACTCATCCGTGGCATTACTAAAATTTTTTTAAACGCTTATAGAAAATAAATGCCATCTAACGTAAAATTCTGAATAATAATAATATATAGCTAGATAACAATGTAAAATAAAAAGTTCTCTGTTCGACGTAGTATTCTTGAAAATGTAGTCTTATTTAATCATATTACACAATAGTTTATCATTATAATAATACGAATTCTGTAATATACAACGATAAGATGTACAAAACTAGGCAGGCGACGTGTTAGACTAAGATATGTCGAAATTACAGTTTAAATATACTAGATCTTTGTTTTGTAGAAATTACAATTTAAAAACTATACTAGATCTTTATTTTTATAGAAAATGTTTAAGTAGTTTCGAAACATGGCATTTTCTTCCGACTGACATTTTACCGCGGGCTACCCTATTACAAAAACTGATTGAGGCAATCGAAGATTTTTTTTTTTCGAAATCTCGGTAAACAAATAACGATTAGTGTTACAGCCGGTGGAGTTACGTCGAAGGGTTTCGAGATAATCTGTTGTTTACAGTGAAATATAACAATAAAATATTTTAAAATCTCTCCTCCGTGATCCATCGACTGAACATTAACCCTTTCGTGATCAGCAGGAAGAATGTGTTCCGCGCTTCTTCTTCACAAATTACGCATTTAACTCGTATTCTAGCGCTAAAAGACTAAAAATTTTTACTTAATTCTATTTCTAAGAGAGCTAAAGAAATTTAATTCTGTCACGAAAGGGTCAAGCACAATAAGAGGTAGGATTAACATCGAATATTGAGACATCGAGAAAAGAGGGCTGGAATTGACAATGTTATACTGAGCAAGGTGAACATATACGTCAGTGTTAGCTGTTTCCGCAAGGCATTCTTTAACCCGAAAGCCGGCAAATTCGGCTAACGCCGAACACAGAAAAGAGGCGAACATATATATGTATAAGTACATCGAAGTGAAAACTGATCAACAATTAATTGCGAAAGAGAGAGACATTTAGAAGCAGATGGAAGGAAGTACACGTATATTAAAACAGTTTGGTATAACACGATAATTATTTCCTCTCTTCTAAGAAGGGTAAATTGACGAGGGAAGGAATTATTGTTTGATACAAAAATACGATACTCAAATCGCGAAACGGTTAATAAAGGCGTGACTGGGCAACATCATTCTATGGAACACAGACATTTGAGAATGTTATCTTTCGTGTAACGATACTGCGTTAAAACAAATCGTGCGCGATAAACGGGAGGGCGAATTTTTAGCAGAAAAAGGGGAGAACGAGCGAGAAAATGAGAGAGGCAAAGACAGAGAAAGAGAGAGAGAGAGAGAGAAAGAGGTACGGTAACAAATAGAAAGAGGACGAGAGAAAAGAACTTTTTAACACTGAAGAACATATTTCTTGCTTTACCCAGTACAATATGGCAGTCCAGCCCTCCATAGTGATACACTGGAAGACAGTGAGCATGGCGAATCCGATGTTATCGAAGCTGGTGATGCCCGAGTTTGGTCCCTCCCAGCGTTCCAAGCACGTCGAGATGTTCGCGTTGCACACGTGGGCCCCGGGCGGGGCATCATTTTTGTTGTCCGCGCTACACGGGCTCGGCTGCTCACCCTCCTTTACGATTATACCTGCAACGTCCAACATTGTAAAACATCTCAAGTATATTAACGCGAAGATGGGCCTGAGGAGCCCAAAGATTAAAACATATATATATATTTTTTTTTCTAAATAATCATAAATACAAATTATATTTTCATACACTTAAAGGTTTTCGCAGATCTTTCTTTCAATCGTTTGTGTGGTAAATAAAAGATACATAAAATAAAGCAAGCAATATTGTAAGCAGTATAGTTTGGACAAAAATTTCTAGAAGGCTGAACCTTCGAATACACTCACTGATGTCCTCTACACTGTAACATGTTTTATGCAGGGTTCCCGAATAAAACTCGAGGCCGATGATGGCGAATATCACGATGGCGAAGAGTACCAGCAAGCCGATCTGCAAAAGCGGCGCCATTGCTTTGATGATAGATTTGAGCACCACCTGAAGACCTGTTCGCAAAAAAATCACCGAGGAGTAATTAGGCCCAACCACCGTTCCTACGAGATCGATATGGAATTCTATACTCGATATAACTTCCGTGCATTATTGTCGTTGCTCATTGCTCGAGAAATTGCACGTGATGCAATTTTGATTTTTTGTATAAACACACAAGATTAATATTTGTTGAAAGCCACAAAATCAGCTTGTAGCAAAAAATAGGATATTTTATCTGTTTCATGGTAATTATAATAATTATTTACAATTGTTAAAAAGATCATTATTTAGATTTTATAATACTCTCAAAAAAATTATTTTAAATTTTAGAATAACTCAAAATTAATTTTGAATTAATTTTTAAAAGACATGCATTTGTTGCCACTCGAAATGATCCTGCATCTGACAATAAGGATTAGGATACCTCCGCCGCATCTAAATACAACATCGAGCTCTCAGTAGTAGCTATTTAAGCAATACTACTAACATAAAACGAATGATCGAGCTAATTCGATAGAAAGCATTCTACAGGCGATAGATAAATATATCTGCGATTAAATGTGATCTAACTCTGATCTACTTGACTTCATATATCTGTTAATTCGCTCCCTCTCAAATCTATGTAGCCACTATTCAAGAAATAAGTAATTCTCGACGGCGGATCGTACTCGATCTTCGAGGTACCCAAATCCCAGATACGGCAAAGTTTCGAGTCGTAAGCATCCATTATTCATTATCAAGTAAATTTCCTCGAGCAACGAGAGCGCATTTTTGTCGCACGTTTAGCGCCAAGTGGTAATCATCCGAAAGTGATATTTCACATTTGAAACATTTTTCGAACTGATATTTTTCTTATTCACAACATGTGATAGCAATAGAATACATGAATAAACTGAAACAGCGCTAAATGTGCTCTTAGCCCGCGCTCACACCTTCGTCTAGTATCGCTAATGTAAAAAGTACACTCAATAATGTAATTTTGTATTGTACACTCGATAATTTAATGATCGTGTGCAATTAACGCGCTCAAAACAAATGTAAGCTTCATTTAAATAATAAACTTTAGAAACAACTTTTGACGCTAGGTTCAAGGTGTGAATACGAGCATCTATTTCGACGCGCTATTTACGACGGTCTCACGGAATCTCGTTTACAATTCTCCCGCCAACGTGAGACCTCTTTGGTTTTCCTCGAGCCGAGCAGCCTCGAGTCCCAAAAAAAATTCGATCGCTTTCCAATCTGTACTCTGGTGCGCTACTCACTTGGTATGCCGGAGACAAGTTTGAGCGGTCGCAACACGCGTATCGCACGCAACGTGCGCAGATCCATCTCCAGGTGTATGCCTTGCGACAACGACGTAATGATCCTGCCCCAAAAACACACACACCCCGCCATACTTTACTACTTACTACTCTATTATACTAATAATTAAGTACTTATACTACGTCCACTAGATGGTTAACTAGCGTTCTCTCTAGCCTAGCCCGGGAAGATAATGCTATCGGGACGATCGGATGGAATTTTTTTTATGTGGAAGATCAAAAGAACTCTGATGAATTAAACTTTGAGCGCAAAATGGATATAAATAGCTATATCTATAGCAGACAATCTCTGCCCGTGAATCCCAAATGGACCTTATAATTTAACAGAAAGGTCAAATACTTAATATAAAAAATGTACATGTTTAAAGAGTTGAAAGACATTTAAAGAAAGGGGGGAGTTTATTGTTAAGCAAATATCTAATTCTATTTTTCCGAGTGTTTCCTATATTCTTTAATATATAAATCTCAATTTGAAGGAAATTATATAATCTGCGGCTTTATTTTTATTTATTTTAATATTATATTTTTAAAGAAATATTATTCAAATATCTCGATATGCAATACTAATTTTAAAAATCGTAAAAATAACTAAATAATATTGTAAATTATTGATTTTTGAGATATATCTGAAAAAATATATTTTCCACTATTTTTTATCAAACTTAATGTTATGTTCAAAAATAAATGATCCGATGAGATAGGGCAATGTTCTACTGAAAAGAGCACCGCGAAGGGGTAGGATCAATGTATAAGTGTAAACGTATCTATGTACGTACGTACACTCTCTAGACTATGTAAAATACTGTATATCTAGGTCTAGAAGAATGTGAAACGCTGGAACGAGCTAGTGATAGTGGCTATAATCACACGTGAACTCGCGGCGCTAGTTTCTCGAAGATATCAGTTCGCCGTACGGTCATCGACCGCCACTTATCTATTTCTGACTCTCGCCAATAGCAGAAGCTTTTAGAAAAGATTCGCCTCAATCCAGAGAAAAGATATTATATAAAGCTGTTAGGTCTTTTTCACACTGCTAGACAGTGAATTCGAAAGTTTAAAACTATTTTTCTCATTATATTCTCCAATTTTAATAAACTCCAGAGAATTTTAAATAGATTTATAAATTTTGAATATTAAAATAATCCCCAAAAAAGGACAGTAAGTGCTATAGATTATTCTTTTTCTTTGTTTTTTATTTTGTCAATCCTACATAAAGAAACATATGAGAATCAAATCTAATACTAAAAATGTTTCACAGCAACTTTCAGTGCTAAATTCTTTCTAATTCTGAAAATAGCACCGGAGAAAGAGATTTATTTCAATTTTGAAAATGGATTGCATAAGTATTGAAGATTATAAAATAAAAACTAGATTTCCCTGCAACAACTAAATGCCTTTAATTATAACTTCACGAACGCGAATTCTTCTCCATTAAAATGACAATTGAACCATGTTGTGCTATAAATAGCAAATGGAAAATCTCCACTGCAAATAACGCTAATGACGAAAATTGTCAATAAATGAAAAACTGGCTAGCTTGTGATAACATCGGTAGAAGCGAAAAAACTAGTCCTAGTATGGAAATTGGGAGAGGACGATCATCTTCTAGAATTATGAGTCGCAAAGCAACCATTCGGTCTGTGTCGTGAATTTCTAAGGGAACGGATTTTAACAAATAAAGGGCTCGCTGTTGAACACGTTATCTGCTCTAGGACACGTATCCATTTAACAATGTATAGTCGGCTCTATTATTTAGCGCAACTGCAGCTAAAAATAGCTAATCGCTAAATATACCCTGTGGGTCATTACATCTGTGTGCGTGTGTGTGTTTTCTCTTTTTTTCCTTATTCGTAAGTCCACTTGTTCGTGAGTGCGCATCCTCGGCGTACGAAATTGGAGACGATTGACCACCAAATCGTTATCGTTTTATTCCAAAAAGAAAGCATACTCTCGAAATACCAGCTACTGATTAATAAATAGATTTCTTTTCACACAGACACGATTCAAATTACATCCTAACATTTAGAGAGAATAATTTCAATTGGCGACTAACAGCGTTTAGACTGCTTTCTACGTGTTTATTTTTCTACGCATACAGAACGAATTAGAATCATTATAAAATGTCTAGAAAATATAAGAAAAACTAACGTGTTATTTCACCTATCTTCTATATTGTTGCAAGAAAACATAACTATGCAACAGTTATTTTGTGATTGTTATCGTTTTAAAAAAATATAATTCTTTATGTCACTGTCTATCAGCAAAAATTTAATTAAACAAACTTAACATCATAAAAAATAGTTTATGTGTTATGCACAAAAATTTAATTATTGTATATATGTAAATTTAACATTTTTCTCAAAGAATCTCTACTTATGTGAACGGTGTCCTTGTGTGTAACTGTGCATTTTTTGAATTTGAAATGTATATGTATCAAATTGCATAGATCTAAACTGGTCATAAAATCTAATCGCTAGTTCACGCAAATCCTTCTATGAAGAATGTAGAATATATATCTAGACGAGATACTTAGAAACACAACGTGTAGGCACACAGAGAAAATTCATATATATATATATAAATGTATATATAAATATACATACAAATTATATATTATCCAACAAATATCGATCAACTGAGCTAGCTTTACCCATCATCAACTCTAACTTTGTCAACTGATCTAAGACACCCATAGCCTTTAAGCGAAGGTTAGTAAAAACGTACGACGTCATATTACGCAAGTAGAAAACTAACGCAGGAGGCCAGAAGGACGTGAACTATGTAATAATGTATAGATATATATATAGACAAGTCAATGCTGCTCTCGCTTGCCGAAACTAGACGTCGTACCGGGTTATAACTAAAGCAGCGGAATCGGCCGAAACTGAAGGGATCGAGCTAAGTTTCGGCGTCGGAGAGACATTAAAACTATGTTTGTAAACTATTGAGAACCGCACACAGATTGCCAGGAGACACAATGTGGACAGGGGGGGTTGAAAGGGGGAGCGGAGAGCTGGGTCATTTGCTGCTCGACTTGTTAGCTCGACTTGTTACTGGCAGGAGTTTCTTTCTTTGGGTGTTTGTTAAGTCGCTGCTGTTTCTTTCGCAGAACTCTGACTGACTCACTTGGAATTTTCGAAACCAGCTTTAGCGGTCTGAGGACCCTGAAGGAACGTAGCATACGCAGGTCGACGTCCACGTTTGTTTCGGCGAACACGGTCATCGACCTAATCCAAGGATCACTCTAGAATCTATCTGACCAACGGATATGGCGATCGGCGTGTTTTTCCTTAATTCCTACGGCTGGAGAAACCAGTTTCTGGACTGCGTTGCCAGTGTAGCAAAATTTTCCAAACGATTATAACGGTAATAACTACGTTTGATCAAACAGCGCTCATATATCGGTTTTTAATAAATTAATTATATAAAATCATATATGCGGCTAATTTCTAATGCAATAATACATCAATTTTTAAAGAAAAAGATAAAATACTTTCCATCGCTTTCCCTTATCACGTAGATTTCAGAATACGTCAAAATCCCGCTATATTAGATACAAGTTACTAATTATGCCTGCAAGGCATAGAGCGTCTCGTTTAGCAATGTTAGTCGAACCGATTCCTCCAACATCTTGTTTCCTCATAAGGATGTAATTAGGGAAAGAGGTTTATTTTGTCGCTCGCTTCGACCGCAAATTAATTAATGGGTGAAACAATGTTTGTCTCTCTTGAATAATCAATATTAATGATCTGTCCTATATTTATGTAAGTAATGGTAAATGTATGTAGTAGTATGCAACGATATGCTAAGTTCAAATAGAAAAGTCGCTTACTCTCTCATGTGAATATCGTGATAATATTATTTTACGGGATCTTCAATAATTAATCAATAAAAAGAATTGACAATTTCAGGAAGCTTCTTTCTCCAAAAAAACGTGAAATATTTGAAGATCGCTGATAGAAGATCCGTGGGAGGGAACCGGGAATGAAAGGTGAAAAAACGGAAGTGGACGAAGGAAGAGACTTTACTGACAAATAAGCGTTCGACTCTCACCCGGTCACCACGACGAAGAAGTCCATGATGTTCCAGATGTTGCGCAGATAGGAGCCGCGGTGGAGGACGAAGCCGAGGGCGAGGATCTTGAGGCTCGCCTCGACGCAGAAGATCCCGAGGAAGTAGATCTCCGTGGACTCGAGACTCTGTGCGAGTATGGTCTTGTCCTTGTTCGGCAGGTGCTCTTCGAGGGCGAGGACCACGCAATTGGCGATGATGGTGAGCAGGACGGCGTACTCGAAGGGCGGCCACTCGATGATGAAGCGCGTGTGCTTCCGTATGCAATTATCCTCCGAAAGGATGAACAACGATGTGGTGCCCTTGCCGCCTCCCCCACCGCCACCCGCCCCTCCACCCTGATCCCGGCCTGGCGCCATGTCCACCAGACCAGGTACCTGAAAAAGTGCCGGTGTTCTGCTCAAACAAAACTCCGCAAACACGATGGCCTTTCAATAGCAGGCTAATAACAGCGCGTACAAAGTAAATTAAAATTTTAAAAAAGTAATGTACCATATACTCATACATTTAAAAGTGACATGTAATATAATTTACACTTAAAGTGTGTACTTAAAACAGTTTCTTAGTCACTTTAATCTTATCGCTGGTGGTATCGTTAAGTAGGTACGTTTCTAACGATCCACGATTTTGAAATATCTTTTGAGTTTGCGTTCAAATTCTAGACCCGACCAAAGCCATCGAAATAAAGCTTGCTTTTCAAGCAACTTCCCAAGCAATAAGCGGCGAAGAGATCGCTCGGGGGAGAAATTGCACAACTGCAAAGACGTTAGATGATTGATTCTCCGATGAAGATTCTAAAGCCACGTCACGGGCTGCAGGATTTAGACGAACGATCACGGCATTTCGTGTCGTAACGGAAACAAAGGCGATAATCGGCAATTGTCACCTTACCTCCCCTCCGAAGCTAGTCCAGTCACCGAGACCACTCCTCAATCCGGTCAACCTCGACCTTCTCCCGTAATACTGACTCGCGTATCCAGGGTCCCTTTGTGCCGCCTCTTGCGCTGCTGCCAACCTGGAAACGACAGACAGGATGAAAAGGGTCAGTGGCTGGTTGCATATCGGAGCAATCTCTCTCGATCGGGATTACTCGCGTGACATACGTCAAATAACGATACCGTGAACCGTACCGTGATTTCTACAAGCGAAACAATCGCCTGCAGAGCAGTTCTATCTCGGATAAGTCGGATGAGAATAATCTAATGACGCTTTAGCTTGAGGGGTTGATGAAAACGCGATCTATTGATAAGCCAACTATGACTATAAATGAATTGTTAAATGCAAAACAAGTAAGTTCTTTACATTTGTGTAATATCCGCTAATTATTCGTTTAATAAGCTGACAAGCTCGCTAAAATGTAAATAAGTGCATGCCCAACTTATATAAAAGTCAACAAGTCGTCAGTAAATGGTACGTATTATAATAATCCTTCACTGAGAAAAAAATATTGTTGCTTCAATTAAATGTGGAATTCCGGGGTGCCAAAAACATAAATAGTTGATTCAATTGTATAAATAGTTGATTCAACTATAGTGTAGTCGTTTTAATAATTCAAATATTGAATCAACTATTTATACAATTAAATCAACTATTTATATTTTTGGCACCCCGGAATTCCACATTTAATTGAAGCAACAATATTTTTTTCTCAGTGTTTAATGATTAAATCAATACTTTGCTTGGTAAATTGTTTAAAGAAATGAAGACTATGACTTCTATCATTTCTTCAAGAACAGTATAGATTGCGTACTGAAAACCGTCTTTGCCTATTTACAGCTAAACAATCATCTAATCGTCTGTATAAAACAAATTTCGAGATTAGATGGTTACATTTAGCGCAACGTAAAAGCATAGCTCTAAATTAATCATATATATCATTATACTATATACTATATATATGTAATTTATTAAAATATATCATTTTCTTAATGAAGTTTTGACGTATTTAGCAAAATTCTTGAAGTTTTCGTTTCTTTTCCTTTGCAAGATGCACAGCGTATTCATGAATCACCAAAAATGCACAAAGTATGCAGAGAATTTCGACAGAATTATTCAGCCGAGTGCCTGATCGCGGGCGATGGCTCAGTGAGATTGCATGAAACAGCTCGTTAATGGCGAACGGAGGTGCATAATGCGGCGGCTCTAGCTTCAATTAAGTGCATTAGTCGAGACTTTTGCGACATCAGGCGCCCCGTATGCACCCCGGTGGCTCCTCTCCGCGCGCGACAGAGAGAGAGAGAGAGAGAGAG